TTTTACAAAGATCACTATCAGGATTATAAAGAATGGCTTAGATATAGGGACATCAACCAGAATCCAGACAAAATATGAAAACTTGAACCAAAACAGGGTGCAGAAATGGAAAGGAGGGCATGAATTCAGAGATACGATGAAGGTAACAATGTTAACAGTTAAATGAGCTCTGACGTAACAAGAGACTGGTGCTTTATATACGTCACCTCTAAACCCCACACCAACACGGGAAGATGAAGACATTAAAAGAAAAACAGGGTTTGAAGACCCTGGAAAATAGCAATAAATTAAAGTCTAGTGGAGGGTTGGAGACACAGCTCAATAGCACAGCATCTGTCTAGCATATATAAGTCTTGGGTTTGGTCCACAGGACTGAAAACACAAAAACATAAAGTCAAGTGGAAATAGTACACACAGGGCCAACGAGGAGTGGTCTGAGAGAATGAAAGGGAAGGAAAACCAGGCATAGTGTATGGCAATCAAGAAAGGAGAAAATTTCAAGAAGAAAGTTGTGTCCAAAAAGTTCAGTTAGGTGAGAATTAAAAAATATCCATTGAAATTGGCAAATAGAAGCGATAGTGACCTTGGCAAAAGAAATTTCAGAGGAATGATGACAGCAAATGACAGACTGTACCACGTTAAGGAGTAAAATGCAAAGAAAAGAATCAGAGAAACAAGTATAGACTATTCTCATGAGCTGACGATAAAGAGGAAGAAGGAGACTGGGAACTATAGATGGGCACAGGGTCAAAGGACAGACTTCAGCATGGCTATGTTCCACAAGCCCATGGCTGTGGAACTTCCCTGTAAGTATTTGCTATCTGGGGTTCCCAGATAGACAAGCAAAGTGTGAGCAAGGAGCAAGACACTGAACTAATTCTGAGAAAGGAGCATCCTTAACAAATTCTCTCTCATTCTTCGATCTCAACCCATATTATTTATGGTCTGCAGTATCCCCCACACTCTTGATTGAACGTGAGCCTGAGAGTTCTGTCATTGTTGAGAATACCATTTTCTGCCTCATCAATATCAAGTCCTTATCAAATGCTGTTATTGGGTCTGGATGTCCCCTCAAAGCCCCTTGCAGTCTTTGGGTGGGCTTCTAGGGTTTATGATTGATTTGTGGTCCAATGCTGGGATTATGGCTATGAGTGCTACACCTGTCCTGGGGTGGATAGTTTGCATAAAGTGTAAGGGAGGGAAAGAGGCTGCTTGCTGCCATGCCTTCCTTTTTGCTCTTGTTGCTTTTGCTGTCTTCTACTGCCACGAACTGTTGCCCTGTGCCATGTGCCACTCTGCCTTGGAGCCAGCAGAGTATGGACTGAAACCTCTACAAACAGTGAGCTAAATAATCCTTTCCTCCCTTAATTTTGGGTGTCAGGTATTTTGTCTCAGCAATGAGAAAAAAGTAACTAAGACAAATGCTTACTGTGAAAGCACTGGAGAGCAGAGAATACACACACACATATATATATGAACTATATATATAAATGTCTATACATAATATATAATACATATGCATTTTTATATATGTAAATATACACATAGGGACATATACACACAACAGTACTACAAGGTAGCACAAACTGTGAAATAAATAATATAGGTAAAAGAGCTATTCAAGCTCAAATCTGGAGCCCTGAAATAATGTAGAGAAAGCTTCAAGGAGATAGTGTAAAGCAGATCTGACATAAAAGAGCACACTGAAATAACAAAGAATGTTGTAGACAAATTGTCAAAGACCAAATGTGTTCGGCAATGTTTAGGGAACACCTAAAAGGTGGCTTCATGAATTTATAAAAGAATCCAGATATTATTGTGCAGAGATGAGGAACTACTGAAGACTTTAGAAGGACTGACATACTATATTTTAGCATGTTTTTATAATTAATTTGGAAAGTTGAATTCCAGCAATTTAAAAACAGAGGTCAAGGATAATTTATAGACTATTGTGACACTTGAGGTGAAGGTGGTGAAGACCTGCATCATCTTAAAAATATGCAGCAAGGTGTTGGCAATGAGAATGGAAAGAAACTGGTATATCCCTAGATATGGAAAAAGAGAAATGAGGCCAGGAATACTATAAAGTTTCAAACTGGAGAGAACGGACAATGATGATACTCTGGAGACAACAGAACAGGAAAAGTCAGACAGCATAGTTTAATAGGCAAAGAAGTTTATTAAAGTTTAATATATGTTGGCAGTTAAGATGATGGGGATATATTTGGGAGCAGATTTATGATAGAGATTTATAAAACAGAACTGGGACTGCACAAAAGGCAATATGGGGGGTGGGGCAAGAGGAGGACAAAATGGAGAAAGGGAACTAATGAAGGCGAGTGTGAAAGAGATTATCAGGCCAGGACAGCAGAATATTACAGAAGCAAAAAGGAAGTAAGTTTTAAGGATGATGAAGTACATAACAGTAAACACTAAAGAAATTGTATATTGAGACTATTCCAGCAACATGGTCACCTGTGACTTACAAAAGAAAAATTTCAGCAGGAAAGAGCGGAGCAATAAATGGGTGAAGATGATGATAATGAGAAGCTATTGATAAAAGCAGAGAGTGAGATTACTCTTGAGAAATGTAGTGGTTAGAGCTGCAAAAGGGTTTTTTGTCTTTTGGGGTTTTTTTTTTTGTTTTTTTTTTTGCCTTTTTGAGACAGGGTTTCACTATGCAGTTCAGGCTGACCTTAAACTCACTTTGTAGCCCAGGCTGGCCTTGAACTCACAGCAGTCCTCCTGCCGCAGCCTCCCGAGTGCTGGTATTACAGGCGTGCGCTACCACACCCAGACTAGCACTGCAAAAGTTAATTAAATTGAACTGAAGCTGGGTTAAGGAAGGATTTGTTTCTCCCTTTAGGATTTAATGATAATTCATGGCAGAAAGAACACATTAATAAATGACAGATTGAAAACATAGGTGAAGCAAGGTTTTCTGGAAGCAGAGGGGGTTGGGATAAAGAACAAAGATCTTGAGGGGCTAACTTGAGAATACAAGTCAATCATAAGAGCTATGAGAGAAATGTGAAGAATCAGATTTTTTAGGTCAAAAGAATTCCCTTGATAGCCCCATCTTCTCACTCAATTAGGTAGTTAGGAGTTGTGTGAGAGATTTAATGCTTGAGAATTCAAGACAGAAAAAGTGGCAGGGGTAGAGTCTTAGACATGATATCATTTGACTGTGTTTAAATCCAGATACATTACCTTGAGCTGGCCACCAAACCTCTGTGAGGCTCATAAAAGTTGTTAGAAGATTAAATGAGATAATGCACACATTAATTATAAAGCATTTCTTAAACAAAAGAAGTCTGATACACTTGCCTTAGGTAATGTGATACAGCATGAATAAGAGATGAAGTAAAGCACAGCTATGAAGCAGGGAAGTTAGAGGTGAAGCTCAGAGCAAGAATATACATCCCAAACCCAAGTTCATATAGCTTTTGGTGAGTTATTCTAGCACAGAGGAGCAGAGAAAGCAGATACAAAGCCAGGGTAAACCTGCAGGACAAGACGCTGAAGAAATCTAGGTAAAGTCTATTTTAAGACCTTTGTACACATACTTACATTTAGAAATTACATGTGATTTATTTTAATATAAAAGTGGCTTTCACTCATTGATATGCTATATTTTACTTATGCTGCAACTAGAACTAGGTTTAGTTCCTCACAAAGAAGGCCAATCAGACCGGATCTTTCTCCTTTGCAGTGCTGAGGCTGAGCCCAGAGCTTCACACATGCTAGGCAATTGCTCTACCACTGAGCTGTATCCCCAACGTAACAGGTAATATTTCAGAAATACCCAGACTTTTCTCCCGTCTTATTTTATAGCTATCTTTTCATACTGTAGAGCCCTCCAATTCCATGTTTTTAAAACTTATGCTCAGGCACTATGCCTCTAGTGTGAATGATATAGTATAATGAAGACACCAGTGAAACAGCTGTCTATGGGTCCAAATCAAGTAGGCAAGCTCACAGACACAGAAAATAGTGAGACAGACTGTCTTGGGAGACAGGCTTAAGCGAATGGAAATAATAAGAACAGATGAAGGGTAGGGAGGCAGCGTATTACCCTTTTGGGTATTTTGGAGATCAAGGTCCCAGATAGTAGGTGTAGCAAAGCCTCATATAACTGAATCGGAGACTCCTGGTAAGGACAGTACAAGAAGACAAGGAAGTGCTAACGCTAAGGGTTCCAGGTGTGTCCCTCTTCCTAACTAGTCGGTGAACCCAAAGGCTTGACTTTCAGTGACAGCCTCCACTCACCCATTGTGACCAGTCAGGAGCCCGCTTGATTGACAGATAAAACTGAGGCCAGGGCAGGGGCTTAGCTCAGTGTTAAGAGTTTGCTTCGCACTCCAAGGGGCCCGGAGTTCGATCCCCCGGGTCCAAACACCCTACCCAGTGGCCAAACTTGCTCTATTAATTTCCGTTAGCGATAACTGTACAATTCCAGGTGACTAATATTTAACTCCTTTGGTCGTGTACACTCTCGTCCGAACGGATGAAACAGACTTCTCGGGCGCCAGGAATCAAGACACCAGTTCCCAATTCCAGAGCTCGGGCCACCTCATGGTCCCTAGAACCAGACCTGACCCTTACCCTCGGGAAATGTCGTAAGGTAGAGAGCCACGGGATTATGGAAACGGACACAATAGACCTACGGGATTCCGGGACTAAAATAAGCGCCAGGGGCCAAGAGGGACATCCTCCCCTTCTCAGAGCTGCAGAGGAGAAAACTTCCACCAACCGGCAGAGGTCTCCGCAGCCAGGAAAACACTGACTGCAATCCCAGCAAGCTCCGGGGCTCGGAGCGCAGGAGAGGACTGACAGCGACAAACACCAATGGGAGAGTCCGGTCTGAGACCATGGACCAATCCGAGGGGGAATGGAGGCCCTTCCCTCAACACAGTAGAGCGGATTTTTGTCCTAAGGTTTCTCTAGTCGTCGGAGATAGAGGGACAGTCATTGTAAAATGGTACCGGTGGCTATACTGTGCCGCTCACTTTCAACCTTCCTCTTTTCCTCGCCCCTCCTTCGACACTTAGTGTGGTCCTTCACCTTCTCCAATAGTGTGAGAGGCTGTGGAATTTCCCAATCTTATTGGATAGTGATGGCGTCACTCCGAAGGGAGCAGCGAGGACCGCCCCTCTCGAACGGTGATTGGGCTCTCAGGAGCCGAGCCGGGCTGGGATTGGTGCGAGGAAGAGCGACAGCTGAGCAGAGGACCACAGAGGTTGTGTCCCCCGGGCCGCCGGCGGGGCTGCGCAGCTCCGTTGCCCACCGCACGCCCTCCGAAAGGGAAGGAGCCTGAGGACCTCTTACTTCATCGCACAGGGGCGGTGGTGGCGCCTGTCGCGTGCCTGTAGCGAGATCCGTTGGGAGGGGAAGCCATAGAGGGCGTGAGATGCAGGGGTCAAGGAGTTGCGAAGACTAGCTAAGGCGGCGCATCCGGGAAGTTGGGTTTGGGGGACAGAGGAGGGGTGAGCGTGTCTGGTATGGGATGCCGTGGAAAGGAAGGGGACCACAGATGCTGAGTAGATCTGTGGGTGGTTCCTTGGAGGCGTCTTCTTTTTCCCAGTTGCCCTTTTGCTTACCAACAACAGCGTTCTCATGCCGTCTACTCAAGTTCTGGAAACTTTGTCTTTGGGTGAGGTTAATCAGCAACTGCGCTGCAGAACTGTCTAGGCCTTTTCTGGCAGTGGGCACAAGAGTGGGGGAATGTCAGAAAACAAGAAGCCGCTTCTGGGCTTGATGCAGAAACTCCCCAATGGGTCTGCACCTGGGAACCCTGGTAAGACTCACTGCCCTCTGTGCATGGGGCTTTTCAAAGCCCCCAGACTCTTGCCTTGTTTGCACACGGTTTGCACCACCTGTCTGGAGAAGCTGGAACCCTTCTCAGTAGTGGACAACCGAGGGGCAGACTCTGACACAAGTTCTGAAGGGTCAGTATTCCAGGAACACAAGCCTGAGAGTCTGCAGCGGCAGATCGGCATCCTGTGTCCGGTATGTGATGCTCAGGTGGACCTGCCCATGGGTGGAGTGAAGGCTTTAACCATAGACCACCTGGCCTTGAATGATGTGATGCTGGAGAGTCTGCGCGGGGAAGGCCAGGGCCTGGTGTGTGACCTGTGCAGCGACAGGGAAGTGGAGAAGAGGTGTCAGACCTGCAAAGCCAATCTCTGCCACTTTTGCTGCCAGGCTCATAGGTAAAGACGGGGTACCCCACCTGTTGTGGCTTAAGAGTGCAACACAAGACAAATTCCTTGGTCAGATCGAAAGGAAAGCTTTCTCAAATACCATCAAATGTAAAGACAGTATACAGTACAGTAACATATACTGTAGAACAGTGGTTATACCCATTAGCGTAACATAATAACTGTAGCAATAATAGCAATAAAGGTTTGCACGGTCCTCTTCAAGTTTCAAAACATATTTACAGTTTCCTTCAGTCATCAATCATTTATATAGTGAATAATTGTACTAGGTGCTGAAACATAGGAAGAATATGACCTAAAGGTCCCAAAGGTCTTGATCTCATTTGATCCCTGCAGCTCCTGTGGAAAGGCAGGCACTATTCATCCCCATTTATTAATCGAGGAAACTGTATAGCTCAAGATAGTTTGTGAGTTTTCGAAAGTCCCAGCTTGATAAGTGTGTAACAGAACTGAGTCTTAAATCCAGATCTGGCTGTATTCTGTGTTCTTTTATAATGTGTCTGCCTTCTCAGTGTAGATACTGATTGGCTGGGTCTCACCTCAGCTTTTGCCTTACACCCTAGAGTTGCTCTGTAGCTGGTGAGAAGGCTGGTAGATGTTGATGGGGTGTCATTTATGCCTTTTATTACACTTGTTGACTCTGGTGAGGTGGATCACCCTGTTTCTTCTTACTCTCCCGCTAGGACATTTGAATATAAAGTGCAAGTTTTGAGAGTAGCCTAAAACTGCTTTAAATTTCTGGCTTCCGTTTGTTTTCTGACCTCACCAAGGGAACAAGTTAGTGGTCTTCTTTCTGTTTTTAACTTGTAATTACGTGTGATAGTACCTATGTCTGTCTTGCTGCCAGCTAAACAGCTGACCCTGGGTTTTTTGCAGCCACTGTCATGGTGCCAGAATTAGCATATAAGTGCCTAGTGGGTACAGTGCTAATGGGGAACTCTTACTAGTCACTTCAGTTTCCTAGACATTCCCTTACTCTCTAGAAGGCTATAGAAAAGAGGAGTGAATCAGGGCCAGCTAACGCTTTTTAATTGCAGTGGCATCTGGCACAGTTTGTGTCTCTTAGTGCTGATTTTCCACTGTGCTCTTATCTCTAGCTTGCTATAAGAAGCCAGGTATGGGGCTGGTCTTAACTTGCCAAATTAACTCTGGGGAGGTTTCAAGATACGATCTTAGCACTACAACCTTTAGCAATGACATGTCCCCAAGCCAAAGCCCAAGGGTACTCCCATTTTGTTTTAAACAACAGCCCTTATATAGGTATTCTCCACAGGGTACAGATGAATAACTAGAACCAGAGAAGATCCTGAAGCTTGAAGTTCCTAGGGATGAAACTCAGATTGAACTTCAGAGCCCATTTTCCTAAAACCTTTCTGCCAAATTGTCTCCCACCTGGAGTTAGTCCCTAATTTCCTCTTTCTGTTTGTTGCTAGGCGGCAGAAGAAAACAACCTACCATACCATGGTGGACCTAAAAGATCTGAAAGGCTACAGCCAGGTTGGAAAGCCCATCTTGTGTCCTTCTCACCCTACAGAGGAGCTGAGCCTGTTCTGTGAGCTCTGTGACCGTCCGGTATGCCGGGATTGCGTGGTGGGGGAACACCGGGAGCACCCCTGTGACTTCACCAGCAACGTCATTCACAAGTACGGCGACTTTGTGCGAGAGCTCCTCAGAGGTACCCAGCCCCACATGGAGGCTCTGGAGGAAGCTCTGGCTCAGACTGAAGAGATGAATAGTGCCCTCCAGATGCAAGTGGAGGCAGTGGCAGCAGATATCCGCACTTTCTCTGAGGGCTATATCAAGGCCGTCGAGGAGCATCGGGACAAGCTGCTGAAGCAGTTGGAGGACATACGGGTCCAGAAGGAAAACTCCCTGCAGCTGCAGAAAGCTCAGATGGAACAACTGCTGGCAGACATGCGGACTGGTGTAGAGTTCACTGAGCACTTGCTGACCAGTGGCTCAGACTTGGAGATCCTCATCACCAAGCAAGTGGTAGTAGAACGGCTCAGGAAGCTTAACAAAGTCGAGTATAGCACCCGTCCTGGAGTAAACGATAAAATATGCTTCTCTCCTCAAGAGAAAGCAGGCCAGTGCCATGGCTATGAAGTTTATGGGACCATTAATACCAAAGAGGTTGATCCAGCCAAATGTGTCCTTCAAGGAGAAGGTAGGAAGGCATTTCCCAATGGCATTGAGAGGGCAGTGCACAGGAACATGATACTGAAAGAACTGTGCCTAGTTCCACTGGAAGAGCTCCCTCACTGACCAGTTTACTGTAAGACATACTGATCAAGAGAGAGTACTCCCACACACACTCCTCACCCTTTCATTTCTGATTTTTTCTAGTCAGAGTACAGTTAATATTTAATACAGAGGTGAGACTTAACCCTTTTCTGCTGTAAAAAGTAGTAACAACCAAGAAACAAGGATCAAGGGTCCTTAGATATGTTTAGGAGTTTTGTTCATTAGGGAAGAAAATGGTTTCTTTTGACCAGTGTTCTTTTTCCTAAGAAAGCATATCTTTTGAACATACATATCATAGAGCAGTCTGGATGGAAAGACTGTTTCAGAGTCATCCTGACTAGCAGTGAATTCTTAACTCTTTGGAAGTTACAGATCCCGTTGAAAATCTTGACCTAGAAATACCCACTAACTATGGCATACAGTTTGAGAAGATTCTTATACACTTCATAAGCCTCTGCACAGACCTATTACTAGTTCATGAACACTGGGTTAAAAAACTTGATTTCATCTGCATGCTGCCTTAGGGGCTGTAACTATTGGATATTTCTCCAGTGCCTTGGCAGGAACTGCTGAATTGCAGAGAACCTCCCACCATGAAGGATCCAAGCTGGTCAGCCATTCCCTGCCTATTCCAGCAGCAACCAGAGTGTGCAGAGGGTAGTTTGGGGTTATTATTCTCTGACAGTTCTACAAGTTTTCTTCTCTGAATACCTACATCAGTCTTGAGTGTTTTCAAAGTTTCCTTAAGGCTGAGGTTAAGGTCCAGGATCCTGTGTGATTCAAATGCAGTTGCTTCCTGAGAGCTAACCAGGCTGTTAGGGACTTCAGAAGGGCTACACTGGGAGGCTGGAGGGGAAGAGAAAAGCAGGAGCAGGATAGTTACAATAAACAGGAATCACGTTTGTTCTGAAGAGAACAAGTAAGATGGTGTCTGATCTGGGCATGTGGTCATGCAGTTTGTCTTGGAGGTAAACACAGAGTGTTTGTTTTTTGCAGATCTCCACAGAGCGCGGGAGAAACAGACAGCCTCTTTCACCGTGTTCTGTAAGGATGCTACGGGAGCAAGCATGGGCAGGGGAGGAGACAACATCCATGTTGCAGTAGTCCGTAAAGATAAGAAGGACAGGTCTGTGTTAATGCAGTTAGGCATCTTGGGTAATAAGCAGTAAGGAAACTGGAAATAGGCCCTTTGAGTAATTGGAGATGTAACTGTGGTCATTATCTTAGCTTGCCATAATGCTATGAAAAAACAGTATGGCTAATTGGACAAATATTTTGTTTTTGCAGTGCTGAGGATTGAACCAGGGCTTTCACACTGAGCTACATCCCAATCCCTTTTCTACTTTTAATTGTTAGACAGGGTCTCTCTAAATCCTTGAGTTGCCCAGGCTGGATTTAAACTTGCAGTCCTCCTGCCTTGACCTCCTAAAGTACTGCAGTTACAGGTGTGCACCACCACACTTGACTTGAATGTGTTTTCTTGAGTGAGTTTTATTTCTATATTCAGTTCTTTCTCAGAGATAGAGTCTGCTTTTCAAGTTGTCTGTATTCCAAGCTTTGGAGTAGACTGAAGGATCCACTATGTTAGACGGATTGGTGTCCCTCCTAAAATGTAGCCCACTTTTGCTACTCAATAGTGTCAGGGACATATTTATATTTCTCTATTGGAGAATGGTGAAGGAATGACAGCACAAAGATATAAGAGAAACTTGTTGAAAAAAATACAAAAACATTTTCACGGAATTTGCCTGAATATCAAACTAAAGTAGGATTTATGCTGCTTACCTTTTGCTGTAAAATTAACTTCTGAGGTAAGTGGAAGAAACATCCCATCTGAGAGACCTTTAAAAGTAATATTGAAGGGAATGGTGTGGAGTATGCATCCTGAAGTGGCAGGCAGCTGCAGTAGGCTTATAAGAGGAATGGTTTTTGAACCCTTACTTCCATTCAGTCCAGTCAGAACAGTGGTCCAGGATAACAAGGATGGGACATACTGTGTTTCCTACACCCCAAAGGAGCCTGGGATCTATACCGTGTGGGTCTGCATCAAAGAGCAGCATGTGCAGGTAAGACCAATCCATATGTAGTCCGAGGTCCTCACCCCAGCCCCACTGTTTCTGTCCTAGGATTCAGAGACATTTGTTTCAGCCCTAGCTGCATAGAGATTGAACGGGATTTTCTTTTCTCTTCTCTTCACTGTAGGAACAGCTCAGATTTTTTCAGTCTTATTTTTACTAGAGGATACTAGTGATCATAAGAACTCTCTCCCTACTTTATCTGCTGGCAGTTATACTTGTATTTTGTCATTCTCCCAATCAGGCTGTTAGAATTCTTAACTTAGAGAAGATGCCTTGATCACAGGGAACAGTCTACCAGCAGACAAGCATGCACACTCAAGAAACTCAATGTAGGAGCTGGGGATTTAGCTCAGCGGCAAAGCGCCTGCCTGGCAACCGCAAGGTCATGAGTTCGGTTCCCGGTACCGGAGAAAAACCAAAAAAAAAAAAAAAGAAACTCAGGAATATCCAGCTTTCTTCAGACTAACTGGACATGGACTTCATAATGGGCAGGGTTAGGGCTATGCCCCCTCCTCTCAACTGTCTGCCTACTGTCCACCCGTGTAATTCTCATGTCTGTTTTACATATGGGCTTGTCTGTTACCATGGTCACTATACTACCTCCAAAGATATGTGTAACACTTTCTGGTTTATGAAGCTTTAAAAGCTGGGTACTATATGTCTAGCAGAGTCTTTCTGCTGAAATCTGTTGACACTGAAATAATCAGAGGTTTCCTTTAAGCAGATGTCAACCCTGATGGGAGTAATATTACCATGGAGCATCATGGTATGTTAGGCTTGTGGTCTCAGGTCTAAGTACTAGGAAGACTTATTCAGTATCTATTCATTGCTTACCTAATTATAGTATATCAGGCATCGAGGGTATAGCTCAGTGGTAAAGCATTTGACTGCATAGTATATCAGGCACATTAGGTATTTTTGTATACCTTAGTTCAGTTTTCTTTTTGTTTTTTGTTTGAGACAGGGTCTTCTTTCATAGTTCAGGCTGGCCTTGAACTCACTGTGTAGCCCAGGCTGGCCTCAAACTTGTGGCAGTCCTCCTGCCTCAGCTTCCCGAGTTTGGGGATTATAGGCGTGCATCATCATGACCAGTTAGTTCAGTGTTCTTCAAAACATTCAAGCACAGGGATCATTTTCCAGTTAAATGGAGACTAGCATACCTAGTAGCTCTGTAGCAGAATTAGAATTTGAATCTCTTTCTTTGAACTCCAAGTTGTTTCTTAAATGAATTATGTGGCAGTCAGCTTTTTATTTCTGTGACAAAATACCTGGGATATGAAGGAAGGAAGGTTGGTTTATTTTGGCTAATGGTTTCAAAGGTTTCAGTTTAATAGTTATTCTTTAAAAGGAGGAATTTAACACAGGGAAAGGTGCCTAAGATACCAGGATCTCCACTTTCTGCTTTTCAAGTGGTGTGGTTTTACATGGGGTAGCGGAAGGGCTGCACAGCCTCCTTGGTTCCAATCTCTCTGCAATGTTGTCTGCTCCCACCCAGCAGAGAGTTTTCCCCTGCTGCCCTTGTCCCTCCAAAGGCAGCCCCCATGACTTAGACTGTAACATGTAGCAACGCTCAGCATACCCTGTCAACTCAAAGGTGGTATTCCTTACTTACAAAGGGCTCCCCATTCACCGTGACCGTGAAGAGCAAGCACCGCCCACACCCAGGAGTATTTCACTGCTGCACTTTCTGCTCCAGTGGAGGCCAGAAAAATGTACGCTGTGCCTGTGGAAGCACCATGCCAGGTAAGGAGGAACATCAGTACCCTAGGGCCTACCTGCCAGCAGCAGGAGTCAGCGACAGACCTCTCCACTGCCACACAGCCACTAGGTTAAGCTGTCTGGACTGGAGCTTTGTTCTACGAAGTGTCTCTGTCTGTGTACAGAGACGTGATAAAAAAAGCAAGCTGCTTTATTCTGAATTGAAATGGCAAGCTTAAAAGCTCCGAGGGCTTTTAGTTTTGATACAGTTAACCAATCCTGTGAGCACTGTGCTTCTCCGTGGGCCGCTCAGTTCTGCTGGCTACGCTTTCAGCAGGCTGAGCAGCGTGAAAAATGTAGACCCATTGTACCTCTTTAAAAACTTCAAAGAAACTCCAAATGAGGCAGGAATGATTCAACTGATTGAACCAGGTCTGGCTCTTTGGGGGAAGGCAGAAGCTCAGGCTAGGGATCCAATTATTTTTTTAAAAATTATTCTATCTTGTCCTCACCCTAACAGTAGGCTACAACATAGGCTTTTGTACCTTCCAAATAACCACTTCAGGATCTGCCTCTCTTTCATTTCAATCATTTTACACTTAAAATCCAAACCAGTTCATTTTAAAGTGAAAGTCCAGACTAGTTCATCTCCTTCAGTTAGCACATTCAAATGCTGAGAGCTTTGGGTAAGCCTAGTTGATTCACTGTGATCAGTCTTGAGAGTCTTCCTGACTATTATGAAGTCAGCTTGTTCCTCTCGTGTTTTACTTGGATATTTTCATTCCCATAAGTCCAAATGTTGACAGGAGGCTTAATGTCCATGGAACCAGCTAGATCGACTCCTTGGATTATTTTTCTCTCTTTGTACTACGCAGGTGGGTACCTAGGCTGTGGCCATGGGCACAAGGGCCACCCAGGTCGGCCCCACTGGTCTTGCTGTGGGAAGTTTACTGAGAAGTCTGAATGCACATGCACAGGTGGGCAGACCACACCGAGGAGTCTGCTAAGAACGGTGGCACTGTGATGGTGTCCTGAGTATGAGATCAACCTGGTAAAGCTGCAGATTTCCAGAGGACCCCAGAGCGTCATTAATTCTGAAGAGACTGGTAGAATTAAAAACAAAGTGCCTTATCTTACTTTAGAGTTCAGTTGCTTTTTTGTGAGTTACTCACTGGTTGTACTTGTGGACTCTTGAGCACACATTTCTCCTAAAGGTAGATTAGCAGTGTTCTTTCTGTACCTACGAGGCGCTCTCTTTTTTATACAGGTATAGAAGTATCTATGCCTTTGGAAATTAGAAGTCATGGTAGATGTAGTCATTTATTTCCTTACTTTCTGATATATTTTAACCTTTTCAATTTATCCCTGCCAGGCATGGTGGCACACACCTGTAATCTCAGCACTCAGGATGCTGAGGTAGGAGGATCGCTATGCGTTCAAGGCCAGCTTGGGCTACATAAGCAATTTCAAGGCCAGCCTGCACCACACAGCAAGACCCCGTCTCAAAGAAAAAAATTATCCCTGAGCTACATATTATTCAGCTATTTACCCCAGAGAATGAAAACTTCCCTTTGTCCTACCTACTTTTTGCTAGCACATTTTCAGTATATTTACTGATACATGTTTTGTGACCATGTTAATGTGACTTTGATGTTTCAATGGGTGGTCCCTTCTCCCTTTATACGCCACCTCAACCCTACTCACCTACCCTGGTCACTGTGTGGTAGAGGGCATCCAAATAGCAAGTTAATGAAGGGGAATGAGACTGAAGTAGATCTCACACATCTATTGCAGTTCTCATGCTGAACGATCTGGATAATTTCTCACTCCTCTTTGATTTTTAGGGGGTAATCTTTGCTTATGTCTATATGTGTAGAAAGTTAACTGGCAGCTTTGATACTTACACAGTACCCTCTTAGCTGCTAGGGAAGTCTGAGGAGAAGGTGTAGACAGAACTAGTACCTCAGTCCTGCCAAGGTCCTCTCTGTATATATTTTATGTGTTATTCTGGGACTCTTAATTTCTTAAATAGTAATAAACTCAGCATGTATTAAATAAAATTACTAAAAAAATAAATAAATAAATAAATAAAATTACTGAAATTTGCATTGTTAGATCCTTTAAGTAGTGGGTAATTCATTTGAGTGGTGAATTGGGTCAGACAAAAGAAGTAAAGTAATGAGATGATAGCTGTCAGATCATCACAGAATGTGTTTCCTTCTTGAGCCTGACAGATGTGGGCTACATTACAGCCATAAACACTGAGGTATTGTTTATATTATCATCCTTTTCTGGAGACATTCCCTTCAGTAGCTTTTGGTAACCAAAATCTGACCCTCCCAGAAAACATCGCTGCCCCCGATACCCCTCTAGCTATTTCTCTTTCTCTTTATATTACTGGGCCCATGGTCACGTGTCCTTTTAGCTCATCATTGCTGCTTTAAGACTGTGATTCTCAACGGGGAGTGATTTGCCCCTCCCCCACCTCCAGCTCCCAAAGCAAAGTCTTAGAGACAGTTTCAGTTGCAGGATGCTAGTAGCATCTAGTGGGTATAGGTCAGGGACGTATACTAAACTTTTTACAAGGCTTGGGACATTTCTTAAACAAAGAATTATCCAGTTAAAGACGTCAGCAGTGCCACAGTTAAGAAAACACCTTCTAGATCATTATCCCTACTGCTGTTCTAAACATGACCCTCTTTGCAACTCATGCCTTTAAACGGTATAGTTGGCGATTCATCCATAGTCTGCCCATCTACAAAGCTCAAATCATTGCTCCTTATTCTTTGAAGATTATAGGATCAAGCTTGCTGTCACTCCAATACTGCTCTTCCATGAGTCTTCAAATAATTCATGCCCACATGGACTTCTTAGTTCTGTGACCAATTCTCCAGTGTTCTTTTTTCCCCACCTAACCTGTATGATCAGACCCTAGATGTTGATTCCATCTTCACCCTCTGATTTGTTTCAGGCATCTGATAACCACAGGCTCCTGTTTCCAGCTTATCCAGTATAATAACCTGATTCTACTAATTCATCTACTTCCTTGGAACCCATAATGCAGTGACTTTACACCCTTCTTACTGTTCCTCTCATCCCCCATTTCCTTTCCTTCATCTTTCTCACTTAATTTCTATAGACCATCATGGGGGTCTGGGCATATAGCTCAGTGGCACAGGCACCTACTTGGAAACACAAGGTCCTGAGTTCGATTCCCAGTACCCAAAACAAAACAAAACAAAAAATAAATCTATAGACTATCACAAACACAGTTGAATACAGTCCCCCTTAGTCATTTTTTTTAAAGTCCAAGATAAAGGTGTAATGGCAAAAATGAGGCTGTATCCCACAAGAGACCAAAGGGTTCCATTTAGAACAAACAGAGTTTATTAATTTAGACTGGTCACTGCTCATCCCCAACTTTAGGTCAGGAATGTGGGCCCCTGCCTGCCTTTGTTCCCACCTTATATACAATTTTGGTTTCCACAGTAACAGATTGGAATGTTGTAGCCCTGGCCACACATTGTGTTCTTTTACTTGTGCCACGTAACCAGGTTAGGCTGGAATGTTGTAGCCCTGGCCACACATTGTGTTCTTTTACTTGTGCCACGTAACCAGGTTAGGCTGGAATGTTGTAGCCCTGGCCACACATTGTGTTCTTTTACTTGTGCCACGTAACCAGGTTAGGCTCCAGTCATGAGCCACAATGATACATACTTTCTGTTCTGTATGTCCCTCTTTAGATAACCATACATTTCCTTTATGGTTACAATGTTTATCTAGGGCCAGGGAAGGGATGAAACAACCCAGGCAAGGTCATAGATGGTTATCTGGGCCCAGGTGTTCTCTGTCTTTGGAGAAGCATTCCAGGGCAAAGTCAGGACTGCAAAGTTAACTTGTTACAACCCCTCCGGGATATTTCTCAAGACACATTTTGAGGCTTGTACTACGACTAGAATTATTCTATCTTAAAATGGTATGCTAAGAGTCCCCGTCCCCTACAAAGGTACTGGCAGGATTGGGTTTTGATGAGATAGCTTTCTGTGGATGATACATGGCAGCCTTCTCACTGTGTTCTCACATAGCCTCTCCCCTGTGTGCATATGGTCCTGGAACCTGTTCCTCTTCTAAGGATACTTACAGCCCTATTGGGTTAGGGCCCCATTTAACCTTATTGGACCCAATTTAACCTTTGTTTACCTTGTTAAAGGTCCATTTTTCAGATATATTGGGGATAAGGGCTTCAACTTTGGGGGATACAATTTGTTCATAACAATTTTATATCTTCCTTTAGCCCCAATTTGTCTGCTCTCTTAAGAACTGTAGTTTGCTATCTATACAGCCCTCCTTCCATTCCCTGTGAAATCTAATCCAAGCAGTCTGTTATCCTCAGGACTCTACCAAATTCTTTCAAGGTCACCATCCAGCGTTACTTCTCACATTCTCCTTTTCCACGTATCACTAACATTTAACAGAGCTGATCACTTCTTCCTCTATGAAACCTTGTCTTCACTTGTTTTGTGTGGGATCACTCTACTTAATTCTGTCTCACTGTTCCTTCTTCCTGTTTTCTATATATCAGACAGAGTCAAGGATCAGTTTGTGCATTTGTTTTTTCCCTGCTTTCTAGATGATCTCATCCCACCCTGACTTTGAATACTACTTATACACCGATGACTCCCTAGGTCCAGGCTCTATAGTATTATGTCCAATACCTTAACATCCGCCCTTGTATGTATGACAGGCACCTGAAATTTAAGATGTCCAGAACAAATTTCCAGTTTCCAATTCTCACTTCAATTTCCTCACAACCACCAAATGCTTCTGCAGTCATCTTCTCTTTAGAGGGAAGATGTAAGTACAGTCTTAGAGAGGGAGGAGCCAGTAGCCATAGAAACATGCTTAAAACTTCTGTCACATCATATCCAAATCCATGGACAAATCCTATCAGCAGTACAAGTAGTGCTACATCCTGTCAGCACTGCTTGCAGACTATATCTGCTGATCACTGGTGTCCACCTCCATTGCTATCGTCATAGTCTGGGATACCAGAATTTCTCACATGAGGTTTTGCAACCCTCTTCTAACTCATCAGTGTCTCTACCCTTACTTCTCACACTACATTCTTTACCCAATAGTCAGATCCTTTCAAAAATATGTCAGATCTTACCAGTCTTCTACATAAAACCCTCCCATCTTACACTCAGAACAAAAGCCAGTGATCAGCTTCACATCAGCATGTATGACCAGCATGATCTGGATACCTGCTCTTCTCTCATTTCCTGCCCATCCCCCTCCATCACTCTATTTCAGCCAAACTGGCTTGCCTAGTCCTCCTCAGATTCTGAGTACTCAATCTTGAGGCCTTTACCTTCACTGCCCCTCCATTTGAAATGCACATCTCACAGATACTTACAGGTCACTGCCTGATTTCTTCACCTTTCTGTCCCAGTGTCAACTACCATACTATTAGTGAGGTTCCCAGCTGCCCTGCAACATCCCATTCCAGGACTCCATATCCCTCTGCTCGGCCTCAGCACCATCTAGCGTATGTTCTGTTTAGTGTCTGTCCCTTCAAGACTGTAAGCTCCAGGAGGGCAGGAATTTGACATTTAGTAACTACTATATTATCCCTATGTAGGGCATTTCTTGGCACAGAGTAGAGACTTTAATATGTTGAATGAATAAAGATCTAATTAGCAAATATTTAGCTTGAATCTAGTTGTATGCATTTTCATAAGACTGCCTTTCTCACAAACCCCAATATTTTTCATTTAACCAAATATCATTTGGGCAAGAAATCTCAACCCTCTCAAATGTGTTGCATAAATTATGTGCACCTGAGGGACTAGTCTTGAATTTTCCAATTACCTCAGACACCTAGGGACTTGCTTGCCAGGAAGAAACCTGTTGTATTACATCATTTTTCCCCATGTGTCTTTTTATGAATCAAATTGCAAAACCGTATAAAAAGCTGCTTGTTTCAGTTAGAAAAGGTTTTAGTAACTGGAAACTACTGCAGATGAAGTGATAATGCAATAGAAAATATCTCTGGCTAATGCCTTAGCATTTAAGCAGTACTAATGGTAACAACAATTCTGCTGAAAGTATTTAAACTTTATGTGCATGTCAGTGGGAGAAGCTGTTCCTTGGCTAGCACGGTAATGGAGTCTTAACCCAATTTAATCCAGATGTTCTGGTGCCTGAATGATCTGGTAAAGTTGACCTACAGAGCGCAGGTCTCCACGATGAGAAAAAAGGAGTTGGAGGACTTAAGAACTGTCCCAGTGTAATGAAGTCCTTCAGAAACTGTCTCTAAGTTGTGAGCATGGAAACATCAATGAGATGCAGCACTATGATGTAAGGTGTGCCGCTGTTGTTATTGGCAAGAACCACAAATTGGAACCTCTCTCCTCGGGGATGGTGTAACAGGATCAACACCTTCGTTGTCTTAGATAATAAACGTACACATATACCTGTCAGCCCATCCATTCTTTCAAATGCAGTTGTTGTTCAACTGTACTTCAGAGGATGTATACTTCATTAGGATTGGCATAATTAAAAGGCTGTTTGATGAAGTGAATGCTAATTAGAAGCAGAATATAAGAAAAGGCATTTCACTTTTAGCTGCTATGTATTAATGTAGGAATTCCTTATTCCCTCAATCAAATCCCTGGTATAACCCCAGCCAGCTACACATGCCTTTTCATCATAGCACTAGTCTTCATGGAGCTGTACAGTCACATGTAGTTACTAGATTCGTGCCTGCGTCCTCTACAAGACTATAAGCCTGAGGAAAACACGACTGTTTGGCTTTGCTTGTCCCTGTATTTCCAGCAATGCTTGGCACACAGTAGGTGCTTGGTGTATATTTTTAAACTAGTTTATTAATGATTAAGCAACACAAGTATTCTCCTTGTTATGGCTTATATCTATATGTCCCCCTACAGCCTCATGCATTCATAGGTGGAGCTTTTCAGAGGTGGATCTATGGTGTGCTTTTTGGTTTATCCTGTACTCTCCTAGGGCTACATGCTATGTAACAAATAGCAATACAACATCCCACTTCATAAACCCAGTATTTTCAAGGTACTAGGTAGACATACAAATTTTAAATAGCCCAAGAAACCACACCAAGTACTAGTGGTCCCATGATTATCTTACTGGTGGGAATGCAGACTGGTGAAACCACTATAGAAATCAGTTTGGAGATTCCTCAGCAAACTAGGTCTAGAGGTCCCATTCAACCCAGCTATTCCCCTTCTGGGTATTTTCCCAGAAGATCTGAAAGCATCATATCACAGTGATATACATGCACCTATGTTCCTAGCAGCACAGTTTGTAATTACTAAATTGTGGAAGCAACCCAAATGTCCATCCACTGAGGATTGGATAAAAAAATTGTGGAACTTTTATATAATGGAATGTTACTCAGCTATAAAGATAAACTCAAGACTTTTATAGGTAAATGGTAACAACTAGAGACTATACTCATAAGTGAAATAAATCAGACCTGCATGTGTAAGCACTATATTGTCTCACTAGAGTAAGACCTGAAAGAGTGAGTAAAAATTAGGAGGCATGATAGACATTGTGAAACAGAAGGAAAATGCTCAAAAGGGCAACTGGAGTGTGGGAAAAGAGAAGCAAAAGGGGAAATTATGTATGTATGTATAGCTAACATAGTTGAACTACTGTCTTCTATTGCTTTATTGAAAGGAACAGTTAATGATTACTTGATTGATCAATCTTGCAAGTCTCTATTTGTTTTCCTGAGAAACCACTCTGAAGATAGCAATATGTAATACAACAAGCATTGTTAATTTCCTACCACTTTGTCTGTAACTCCATATTGTTTGTATTATTTTGCTAGGTTGTAAATTGTTGTCTGTTTGTTAATGTGTTTTCCTTATTTTTAAAATAAATTCAAAAAAATAAATGAAATAAATTATTTGTAAATCTCATGGTCAGAAATGTGCTTTGATGACAGACATTCACCACCTGGTTCTGTCAACTGCACCCATGCTCTTTATTCTCATATTCCCAGAACTTGTTCCACAGTGGTGTCACTGGCACTTGAATGGCATTTCACTGTTTATGTGCATTTGTTACCTCAGGTTATTTATACCCAAGTCTGGTGAGGCAGGCAGATATGAAAAGAACCCAGCAGTAGTGCTCATCACATAGCTGGTTGACGCCATGTAGCACCTCAGTTAGATCACTGTATTGTGGGTTGCTGCCCACTGCTAGAAGTTACTGAGACACGTTGTTATATGCAGACCTTAAGAAACTGATTTGCATCATCTAAAACAGACATGAGTCTGACATCAAACTGCCACTTATGTTAGTCTGTGAGACATTTCCATCTGAGGATTAGGTTTAAGAATGCATGTTTGGTATATGCCGTCCTATTAGGACAATGGTTCCTTCTTTTTCTACATCCTTAACATATCAGCACCATCTCACTGTTTTAGGAACACCTAGACATAAACAGGTGGCTTTGCTAGCTTACCATCACAAGGAAAATTAGAGAAAGTGTTTAAGATATCAGGAGGCATGTCTTACAGTCAAAGTTAAGGCTTTAAGAATTTTTCCCCTAAGAGCCCTTGGATTGTACACCAGCAATATTCATCTCACACCCTTCTGACATTAATATTCAGTCGAACAAGTTAGAGTAGGTGTATTTGTTACTAAATTCCCAGAGGCGCATGAAACATATATTACTCTGCCATCTTAGAGATAAGAGGCTGAGATGCCTACTTGACCTATAACTAGACTAATGGAAGATAATTAGCTGGTGACAGAGACAGGATCTGTACATTCCTGCTGACCTGGGGGCCATTTGCTCTCTGGTGATTATACTTGGGTATGTTGATCTGATAACTCCAAAAGAGTAATATTACTGTTTGAATTTCCTGATTTTATCAGGGACCTCATTTTAGCTGTTAAATTCTGAAAACATGCTCACCTTACAAATGAGGAAACCAAAACAGAGAACTTAATGATTTTGTCCAAAAATCAGTAATTGGGTTACACACCCAGGTAAGGTGAGTGTATAAATTAGAGCTACACTGAAGTTCTCAGCAGGCCACGCTGTCTTTACCTCTGCAAACCTTTAGATCTTGTCCTTGCAGGGAACCTTGGCCTGACCTCAGGGAATCAGTCTCAACTGTGCCCGGGTTAGCAAAGGGTTTTGTCTCTCTACCAACTCAAAGGAAGAAATGTTTCCAGGAAGGACTATTCTTTCTAGTGGAAATTAGCAGAGTAAGTTTTGGGATAATTATTGATCAGGGAGGAAACTGTTAGTTTTCTGAAGAATAAAAGTCTCATTGTCTGTATTAGGGTCCTAACCACCCCTGAATCTCTTGATCATGCCCCAGTCCAGTGCAGGTGAGCTGAGTGAGGAAGAAGTGCATTGGGAAAGGCTGTTTCACTCATTCAGGGACCAGGTTTGACGAAAGAATCCATGGCCAAACTTAGGTTGTGAACCCAAGACCTAGCAGCTTCACCATTCCTCTAAGGTGGTGTCATTTCCTGTGAGTTCCTTGGATCCAGCGGTGCTAAGAGGGAAGAAGCAGTGTGAAGAACCACTTCAAAAGTTGTAGAGATCCTGGTACCAGAAGAAAAACGAAAAACAAAACAACAACAACAACAACAAAAAAGTTGTAGAGAGCAGTCTAGAAATGCCTGACTTCACCTCTAACAGTCCACTGATCAGAACTCAGTTAATGGGTGTCTAACTGTCGTGAGGTCTAGGGTGCATATCTAGTCCCTCTGGGTGGCCAGGGGAAAAGAAAATGGGTTTTGGTGAACACAGAGCATTATCTCTGCAACAATGTCAAATGTGTATTTATTACACTATAGAATGATAACACAAATACTGAATGATTCAATAAATTCTAAATGACATAATACTAAATCCTACTAATAACTAAAATATGGTACACCTGTTAACATGGTCCCAAATACTGATATGATAGAAATACTGTGATACATGGTTCAAATATTAAATGATACAGTGATTAAGTGATATTCACACTGACACACTACATAATACACTACTGATATACTACTAAATGATACAGTGATGCAAACCCTAAATGACACAGTGATACTAATGAAGTAATGTTACACACTGATACACACTGAAGTAAGGATACAGGACTCAACATCTGTTTATGTGCAAAGTATCTCCTTGACCTTAAGCTTGAAAGGAAAAATTGCCTGGATTGAGACAACTGCAGAGGAATGGCTGGCTAAGGGAGCTGTTCTTCTCAGCCCATTGAAATGCTTACAGGCCCAAGATGAGGTGGGCAGGACCAGCAAGAAGACAGGAGCCTCTAATAGAGGAGATGGTAAGAAGGGTTCTTGTACCAGCTGAGCTAAGGAAGGCAATGCAGGGCTTTCTGAGCTTTGCAGAAGCTTATGCACGGCTTTGCCAGAGTCGTCTATGTCTAACTGAAATAACTGATTGGTTTCTATGTGGCTCAAAGCAAGCTGATTGATTAACATAATTGATTAACCAAACGTTTAACACAATAACCCATCCTCACTTCTAGAGATAAAGATTATGCCTCATTTTGAGGAGTATATAAGGCTTGTAGGTGAAATAGAAAGCAAGAACAGAGCTCAGGGATCAGGGCTGGGGTGTTTTTCCCAGATCCTAATTCAAACCAGCAATGGCACTGTTCTGCACCCTGCAGATAGGAGATTAGATGCCAAAAAGGACTTTGAGGTCAGCCAAGGTAAGCTTGGTGAAGGACTCTCCAGATCCTGATAAAACTTGTTTGGCTAAGTCTTTCTTTTTTTCTTGAAGCTGCAAGATCTTCTCTTCCACTGTCCCTTCACAAATAAATCTGAAAAATAAATAAGAAAACTATCAGAAACCCAAAGCAGCTTACCTAGTGGCATATTCAAGCTTCTATCATACTTTGATTATGAATGTGATCACTTCCTTTAAGTTTTTCAGAATCAGTGAAGAACTCTAGGTTTAGGAGATCCAAACAACCTTGACTAAATATGTCCCATTTAAAATATGTGACTCAGATTGACTTTTTACTTCATTCTGAAGCTATTGTAATTAAGAAAGCCTCAAATAAGCAGAAGATATCCCTACCTAGAAAAACTACAGAGACCTAGGTTTCCTCCCAAACACTCTATCTTGATAGTCAGAAGGTCTCCAAGATGAAGTTGTTGTTGGGTATATGTGAGCTAGTTGAAATACAGAGTATCTAATTTCCTGGCTAGGTGACACTCATAACAGCTTTTTCAAACTAAGCATGTGTACTGTTGTCATGCATTCATTCTTCAACAGTATTTTTTAAAATATTAATTTGAAATGAATATACCTTGAGACCATAATATTAAGTGAAATAAATCAGACATATAAGCTTAAGCATTGTATAGTTTCTCTCATATGAGAAATCCAATATATAAATAAAGAGCAAAATAAAAGACAGATAATAGGAGTAGGAAGATAGATCTTACTCAAAAGGCAAGGGGATCAAGAGATGAAGGAAGGGAAACAAAAGGGAGGGGAAGGGGATGAAAAAAGATGTGTTCTGTACAAATACCAACTCCTAGTAAGGAATGCAAACATTACATACTACAAATACATACTATTAAAAAATAGAAAGATTTAATTTTAATCCAACAAGTATTGATTAAGCACTGGCTATATAATATGTGGTACGTTAGGTATTGGGATGGTGCAATAAATACAGTTTTGTTCTGAAAGCCGACATCGAAGTGACATGAAAACCCAGCAATAATAATAATATAACCTAGTAAGTGCTGCCACAGAAGTATGTTCGTATAGAGAAAATCTTTGTAGAGTACTCAGGGAAGTGTCCACTGAAGGGTTAATGTCTAATGTATGACTTGTAGGATAAGCAAGGCATTGCCTGATGGGAGGGCATCCCAGGGAATGGGAATGTATAAAACTACTGTCTGTTTTAGAACATGGTATGTCAGAGGAAGATCAAGTCATCCAGTCTACTTGACCAGTGGCAAAATCTCAAGAGGCTGGAGGGGCCAGATCATGAGTGGCTGGCTGCACATGGCAGACTAAGATGTTTAGAGATTATCTCTAGAAAGTGAAACCACTGAAAAATTTGAGGGGAAAGTCACAACCAGATTGACTGTCTAGGAAGAGCCCTCTGGTGGTGATACAGAGGACAGGAATGAGTAAAAGCAGAGGCACTGGGAAGAAGATGGTTATCAGAAACACTTAGAAAGTACAACAGGATTTGGTGAAAAGTAAGAAAGAGAAAGAGTCTAGCTTCTGGCTGCATGATTAGAAAGACAGAGACACTTTGCAAAGACAACGAATATAGAAGGATTAAAAATTTTGAAATGGTAGGAAGAAAAAATCTCAGTTTGTGACATTTTGATCCTGGAACACGTCATCACACTTGCTAATGCAGCGTGCTCAGTAGGTGTTTGTTTTAGAGCTGAGTGCACACATGAGTGAATACAGATGAGTGTGTGAGTACTCTGATTCAAATATTTAACAAGATTTGGGTATTCCTGTCTCAAGATTAGGAGACGGTGGAAATAAAGACACTGATTTTGGACTTACTGGAATGAACAGAATTTTTAAAGAAGAAAATACAGAATGAGCAAAGAAGAGACCTAAAGAGGAAAATTAACATCACAATTGCATGTGGCAAATTTTGGAAGTCATGAGTACCCCTTATCAAGAAGCTTAAGTGAACAATAATAGGGAAAGGCAATTTGCACAGATTGAAGAACGCGAGATAAGCAAGTAAAACACATACTGTGACATCTAAACCCATCAGGAAAGTTGGTCATGAAAAGCAAGGAAAAAACGAGGGCCACAGCAAGAGTAGACTACAGCAGGGTAGTCTACTACTATGGTAAGTTTTGTTGTTCTTAAAGATGGGAGGCTCCCAACCAGAGGAACAGTGTGCAAAATAGTGAGCTTGTGCTCTTCAAAAAATCAGTGTCAGAAAACAAAGAAGGACTGGGATACTGCGCCAGGTTAAAGATGCAAAGCCATTGACAACGGCATGTTAACATGGCATCTGTGGTGAAGCGTATCACTGGAGCACACTGTGAAATTGAATAAGGTCTGGTGATCTGATAATAGTATTATATTGATGTTAATACCCTGATTTTGATAATTTTATTATGCAATATGTGAGAGAAAATCCTTATATCAGGAAATGTATATTGAAGTACTTAGGGATAAAGGAGCATTGTGTCTACAGCTTTCTCAGAAAAAGTTTATTCACACACACACACACACACGAGTATGCAGGAACTGGTGCTCTTCTTGCAACTTTTCTGTAGGTCTGAAATTACGTCATAATAAATATTAAAAGCAAAAAAAAAACAAAACAAAGTTCCTCGGCCATAACCAACTGTATGGTTACCTCAAATTGCTTGCTTCCTTCCAGACAATAATACGCCTGAGGATATCTCTTAGGAGCATCACTATTGAAGTGATTACCAAATACTTTACATTCTATTAAAACACAACATAGGGAAGGCTTTCACAAAAGCAGAAGTTGGAAAATGGCCTTGAGGAGGATGTTACTTACCTATGTATGACAACATCCTTCTGCTGCCCTACTCTGTAAATTCGGTCACAAGCTTGATCTTCAAGGGATGGATTCCTGTTAGAGGTGAAATAAAAAAAAAAAATCTATCCTAGATGTCGTGACAAACTATAGCCTTTGGGCCAAATCCAGCCCATAGCCTGTTTTTGTATGCTTCTTCAGCGGAAAATATTTGCTGTATCCCCAAAGGGGTTTAAGAAAAACAACACACACAAACACATACCCTCAAAGAGTAAGTGACAAAGAACTCTGCCCTACAAAGCCTTAGGCATTTACAGAAAAGGTTTGTCAACCTATGTTATAGGCTATACTGACCTAGGAAAGGTTAGTGCCCATACAGTCTCGCCCTCTAGTGAAAAACGGGGGTAAGACTGCTAATAACAACTCCCACCACTATTATCAGTTGATAACTAGAAGTAAGGGAGGTAAAACCAACAGTCAAGTACAGTCCTTAGCTAACTAGATGACCTTGGAGAAGTTCTCAAGACACTCTTAGGCTTCAGATCATGATTTAGAAACTTAAGGGCTGGCTGATGTTCTCAGTATTTACCTTTTTCAACTTTAATATTCTATCATTCACCTAAGAGACTTAATTTGTTTCCTTCGTTATAGATTCTCATTTGCTCATCTTACCTCTCATTTTCTCATCTTACCTAAATTGTGAATAACATTTCTCCATCTCAGAAAACAGCATAACTCCTATCATGCTTTCCTCACTCTCATGTATATAACAGAGGCCCAAGTAAGACCTAACCATTCTCCAGGAGATAATAACAGGTTGGTCTATTTGTACCAATCTGGGCTGCCTGAAAAATCAGGCAATCCTGGAAGGAGTGCATTGTACAGCAGTCCTTGATTGGCATAAATGGAAAACCAGAAACTGGTACAACTTACATGAGCCTTTCTCCTACTAACACATTAACTCTCTCATCTTGTATCCAGGACAGATACTGTCATGTTCCTGGCAGTCGCACTCCACACAACAAAACCAACGGCTATATATTTCTAACATCATTAGAAAAGTCCTTTGCCTTTCTTCTTGGAGTAATGCTTCTAAGATTAAAATTTCTTTAGATCTCAACAAATATGTCTAGAATACGGTTTCTAGAGAACAGGTAAAACTGTAGGATCGGACCTCACAGCCTGAGGAAAAGCTACCTTCCCAGTTTCTATGGAAACATTAAATTAACAATAAAGTGAATGAACTATTTTAAGCAGTCATTTGAAGACTGCTCAGGAATTCAGGAATGTCAACTATCTGTATACCCTCTTTAGAGTTGCGTTTATAGGTATGTATAGACAGAGGCAACTCCATAAACAAGTACACACTTGACATAAGAAGTCAGTCCCTGCCCCCCTCTAGCACCCTGGTATGCTGTAACAACTCAAGAAAAGTCCAGAATCATTACCAGTGCATGTCCAAAAGAAAAAGATGGTTTCCTCCAGTCAGATTTAGACCAACACCTCCAGCCAAGAGAGAGATTAGCATAACCTTCAAAAGGAAACACACCATTAACTTTATCCAGACTTGGTCTCACAATACATTTGGTATAGTTTGGATCTTAAGTGTCTCCCAAAGGTCTGTGTAGTAAAGGCTAATCTCCAGCATGGTATATTGGTGGCTGTGGAACCTTTAAGTTGTAGGGCCTGTTGGGAGGTCTTTAGGCCATTAAGAATATGCTCTTGAAGGGAACAAGAGGACCCCAGCCCCTTTCTCTTTCCCTGTTTTACTTCCTAGCCACAACTTCAGCAGTTTTGCTCTGCCATGCACTCCTGCCATGGTGTGCTGCCTTGCTACAAACCCAAATCAACAGGGCCCATTAATCATGACCTGAAACATTCAAAACTGCAAGCCAAAATAAGCCTTTACTTTTTATAAACTGGTTACTCAAAGTATTTGTTATAGTGATGAAAAGCTGACTAAGACAGTATCTTTTATTTTAGGATCAAGCCCAATGTCAAAACAGGTAAACAACATATTCCTATCAATTTTTTTCCTGCTGTCATGTTCTGAAACATTAAGATGCCATCTCCCATGCCTCATTTTTTAATAACTTCTCACATTTCCGTTTTTTATAAGTTAACCTCAGAAAATTGACTGCCCACCAAAATATATGAATACTGTAACTTTAGAGCCCTGGGGTGGTCAGCTCAATAAATTTTCCTTTAACCAGATTTTATATATTCGATAGTTCCTGCCCCTCTGTTGCCATAATAATTGTCCTGCCAATCATTCAACTAATGTTTTTTAAATCTTTTTTGGTTTTTGTACTGAGAATCAAACTCAAGACCTTGTACTTGCCAGGTAGATGCTGTGCCACTAAGGTATATTCCCGGTTTTAAATCCTTATTATCAGTAATTAAATGACTATTCTTCCATTTCCTTCCACATTGCCTTATCAAAACCTTAACTTCCCTTCCAGGCTTGCCTTCTTCAGACAGAGACTGCTGACACTAACCAGCTCTGCTCCAAATCTCCTGTTAGTCCTCATGTTTTATTCTCTTTAGCATACTTTGCTCTTTGATAAGCACCTTGGTAAATGCCTAATAAATTATCAACATTTGAAGGGATCAAGGCTGCGAATATGCTCGAGTTGAGTTTCTGTATTATAATAATGTTCTTTGTATAACTAATACCAATTTATTCCTCAATTATAAAGCTCTGCTGTGACCAGCTCATACCTGAGGATCCCTGGAGTGGTTAAATGCCTCTACCAAGTCCATTCTCTGCTTGGGGTTGACAGAGCCATCGATGGTGGCATAAGTCAGTCCATGCTTCTTAAGGTGCAGTGCTACCACTTTCAGCATGCTGGTCCACTGAGAGACAATGACACTGGAAAGCAGGATAAAATAAAAACCACCCCGAAAATGGATTAAACAAACTCACTGGCACAGTTTTCATGTCCTGTTAACCTGAAGATCAGTTACAAAATGTAGATAAGAAAAGGCCTAAGCTCACTGCCACGGTTTGGATGAGTGTCCCCAAAGCCTCATGTGTAAAGGAAAGGCTCGGTCCCAGGCTGGTGACAGGTGGTATGGACCCTTTGGACTTGAGCCTCCAGAATTGTGTGCCAAAGTAAATCTGCCTTTACCAGGAGCCTGTTATGGTTTGTTTTGTTTTCGCCATGCTAGAGTTGGACACAGGGCCTTCACACTGAGCTGCTCATACATCCCCAGCCATTTTCTTTTAAATTTTGAGATACAGTTTCACTAAGTTGCCTAGTCTGGGCTTGACCTTGTAATTCTCTTGCCTCCAGCTCCCTGAGTGCTGGAATTATAGCTGTTTACCACCATTCCTGGATTATATTAGTTATTTTGTTATAGTGCCATGAAGCTAATATAAGCCCATGTGTAGGTCAAATCATAAGTTTATAATGCTTCCAATTATTTCTAGACTCCATTTTATCTTGTGCTAAACAAAATCAAAAACAAACTGTGGCGAGACTAAAGTAACAGCTTCAGCCTCATTGTATTTGACGGTCCAGTACTCATCCAGATATCTGTGGTCCTGCAAAAAGGGATCCCATAGTTGGGCGTGGTAGTGCACACCTCTAATCCCAGCACTTGGGAGGCTGAGGCAGGAGGATCACTGTGAGTTTGAGGCCAGCCTAGTGAGTTCAAGTCCAGCCTGGACTACATAGCAAGATGCTGTCTCAAAACACTAAAAAAAAACAACAACAACAAAAAAAAACAACGGGGAGAGGGGATACCAGCCACCCACTGTGTGACAGCCAAAACAACACACTGTCCCTAAGTCATGTTTTATTTTTTTGTATTTTAAAGAGAATTAAAAAAAAAAAAGAACAATAGCAAAATGCCAACAACATAGACAAAAACAAAACAAAGCAAAAACAATACGAATGATATAGGGTTTCAGAACAAAATGATAGTGATTGACAGTGGTTGTTATATTAAATATTTTTATCTTCAACCAAGTTGGTCAGATTACCAGATGTAAGAATGCAAGATTAATCAAACCATGTTTCAATTAGAGTTTTAAAAATCTAGATTAAAGAACTTCACAAATACAAAAGCAGATGTACCACATTATGTAAAGTATAACTCAGGAGGCAATGCACCCCGTCTCCAAGCACACTGACAGCACTGCTGCAGCTCCCTGCCTGACTTTTCCGTCACTCTCTTGCTTTTTTCATGTGATTCACTGCTTTAAATACTGTTTCAGCTGCCTCTCTTACCTGATCCTTTAGAGATGTCTTTTTCAAACTGTGGCAGAAATATTGTAATTAGAAATCATAGGGAATCTGTGCTATAACCTCAGTGAATTTGCAGAGTTTGATTCAAGGTCCTGATATAAAAAGGCTTGACTTACAAGTAGGAGCAATAGCAAATTTCCTTGCTTAATTATAAGCAATGCTTGGATAATAAAATAACGCATTTACCTCTTTTGGGACCCTGAGGTTCTTCGGATTGCCTCCAGTTCTGCCAACAGAGATGATATCTGAGAAAAGGGTACACTGATGTTGCAGTTTAAGGATTCCACACTTCTCCATCCTCTCTGCCTAAGTTACTGAAGCTGTCTCCTGGGTGCCACTGCGCTTCCAGTCTGACCCTTCTCGTTTCCACCTCCACTGCTGCAGCAAGAAACCTGCTTCTAAAATCCAAGTTTGTCACTTCCCTCCCTGAGCTGCAACCCCTTCCACGGCTTCCCACTGAACTCAAAGCCTGAGCTCCTTAAGGAACAGGCTGGATCACTGCTGCCCGGACTGCTACTTACTCCTTCTGGCTCATCTTCCACCACAACCTCCTCAAATAGCACTCTGATCATACCAAAATTCTTCCAGCAGCCACGCCCTATCTCATTACTGTCTATTGTTCCCTTTACTTTAGAACACCTTGTCGGCTTAATGTCACTTTTTAAGATCTCCCCAGCCCTCAACGTATACTTCAGGTGCCCACTGCCTATATCCTACTAGTGCACCTTTTGCTTTCACTATCAGGATCCCAATCGAGCGAGATGTTAATCATTTAAATATCATCCCTTGCTTCCGGGACCGGAGACACTCCATGAGGTCAAAGGCAGCACATGTCTCGTTCATTTCTATACTCCAGTCTCGTACATGCCAGGACAAAGTGCTCCCCTAATATTTGCGGAAGTAAAAGATCCTTACCCACTTAAGGACTGCTTCAAACATCACTGAAGAGGACCTATTGAGACTGAGGAGCGGCTGTGAAAGCTTGCAAACAAACTGAGTATTTACCCCTGAAAATGCATTCCAGTCCACATGGCTGCAGCCAGTAAAAATGCATGGGCATGACTCCGGGGAGTAACTGGATTCATTCCTCTGAAGTGAAAGCAGACCTTTCAAAACCATCTGTGAGCCCTAAAGTCACACCCCAGGATGCTGGAGGAAGAAGGATACTGGTCCAGAAATCCACTAGGGAATGACTACAATTCTCGCTCTGCCACCCATGGCTACTCCATCTTGGAACACAGATTCCTCATCAGTAAAGAGGGCCTTAAGCCAGATAAACTCTAGGATGCACCAAGCTCCCACCTTCCGAACTGCTGTTTTTATGAGTAACTTATAGAGCTCCAGAACATCAGTTTGCTTTCCAGTCTTAGCAAACGTGCTGACATCTACAGGGCAAGGACAGCACCTCTGAACTGAGCAAGAGAAAAGCAGATCTCGCTGTTTTTAGTTAACAGTGGAAAGACACTGACGTGCCTGGTGTCCTGGTCACCTGAGGCGTGGAAGGCACCATGATTCCCACATGAGAACACTAGCAAAAGAGACTTTGAGAAGCCTGAAGGTGGAGGGCTAGAGTCATGGTCCATTAGCTGGTGTCAAATTCCAGTTAGACTATTCTCTCCCCACAGCAAACAACTTTACATGGTTGAAACTAATATTAATGGGTTTATTTGTTATGAAGCTTTGTGAATACTGCCTGAGTGTTACACAAGTAACACAAAGTCTTAGGAATATAAATTTTAACAAAGGCTGTAGAACATGAATTCTGTCCACATGTGGGGCTTTTCTTATATTTTCTTCAGCTACTTGTTGGAAAGACCTAGGGAAATGTTTTAAAATTTTAATTAAGAGGAAGCATTTCTTTCTTTAAATAATTCTATTTCCTTGGTAGTGACCTCCTTTCTAGTTTACGTTTTTTTAAAAAGCCTCTGAAAAAAAGAGGTTGAGGCTAGGACTGGCAGCTTAAGATCCTAATAGAAAGAAACAAGCCCCACTTTCAGGGCATGCGGGATAATGGAGCACATTCCAAGCCAACGGAAAGGCAGGACTCAAGTTACCGCTTAGCATAGCTTCCTCTAATAGAACTCTCCAGCCTTAAAAAGCTCTGATGAAAACAGAACAGAAGAACTAATGAAGATAGAAGGCTGCACAGGAAACAATACTCTCAGATGAAGCCTTTCAATACGGAGAAACAACTGGTGCTCACGTGTATTACAGTCTCCAGGGTCCAGTCCTTGTGATTTTCCTTTCAAGCTTTCCCTTAACAAATCGCTTGATTGCTTAGGCACCAGCACTAGCACAAACCTGGCAGCCTTCTTCACTAGTAATCCGTAACCCAAAGGCTGCCTTGATGGCAAAACTCTCCAAAATCACTCTCTGAAAGACTACTGTGTAATACGGCTTTCGTGATCTTTGTGGTATAGCCGAGGCTTTAAGACTAGAAGGAGAATCTGACCAACTACAATCTAAGGGTTCCAGCTCTGCTATCAAGGCTGTAATCACCTAGACAAATGAGGGCTCCAACACAGGAAAATGTATGAGAAACCAAAGTGCTCTACTAAAAGCAGAGGGACAAAAGTACCTTGGTGCTCCCTCGTGTGTCTTCAAAAAGCTCCACCTTGAAGCATGTCCCATTAAGGGAAATAGTGGGAGATGGCTCTGCATCATGGAGTTCAGATAAGGTCATAGCGCTGAGTTGCTCTTCCAGGGACAAGACAAGGCCTTCGCTCTTCAGTTCCGAGGGATCCAGGGCCTGGGGGCAACAAAGAAAAGGGACAGGAGCTGCTATTGGAGAGTCATGGCAGTGAGCCTTATTACTTGTTGATGAAGTTCTGATTGCTTAACGCTTGACGGAGCAAAACGTCTTGTAATTTCTCTTCAGTAACTACTCAAAAACAATTCTGCTTAACGTGTGATCCTGCAAGTTTTTTCATTATCATAAAGATCAACCACATGATAGAATTTTAAAAAGATTTGCTAGACAGATTACATGATCATTCTATTTTTTTTTCCCTGCGAGAACAATTCAGTTAATTAAGCTACTGATAGTCAAAACACATTACTCCAGCTCCTGAAATAAACATGCCTCTTAATTTTGGATATAGCAACTTTGCAATTTGTAAAACTACTTGCGTTCTCATATCTACCTCTAATAGCCTCAATACTAGACAACAATAACTAAATTAGCTTTATTACATTCTGAAACCAAAACATTCACAAGTGGTTTCCTTTTTATCAAAATGTCATTTCCCATTCTAAAACGAAGTTTGTCTAAAATTAACAATAAAAGTATTTTCCTCCCAATGCCATGGAAATCATCAAGATTAAAGGAGATTAACATAAAGTAAAATAAACAAGCCCCTTCTTGTTCATCCTACCAAAAACCAAAAGAGAAAAATAAAACCCCCCAAAACCACTTCTCTTGATTCAGCAGACTGGACCTCAATGGCAAGAAACTGAAATTATGGTGCAACAGCAAGGTTTCTTCTTACCGACTTCAGTAAAGAAAGATGACAGCAGCACTGGCGGAGTCTCAGCAGCTGGGACAGGATGTGGACAGTGCTGGATTTCTGCAAGTCTGCTGCCACCAGGCGCCTGGGCTCACTGGACCCAAACTCTCGTGCCACTTCCAAGTGAGAAGATAAACCCCAGGAATGGGTATAGGATTTAACATAGAGAAATCTGGGGGGGAATCGGAAACTAAATGAAGCTATTTTAAGCTAGTTTGAGATCCAATAATTTAGCTATAATTCACTTCGACAATAACTAAACCAACTGAAATACTGGTTTTCCTTATAGACTACATGTATTTTTAAAAGTAGGTTTAGGAAACAATTAAAAAGAAGCTTACAGCATCAGGTCTTGTGTTTATTTTATTATGGTTTGAGGTTCTTAGCTAAAGCCTAACTCCTTATATTTACGATTCACAACCCTCTATTTCTGCCATTTTACTGAGTGCAAATCTACATTTTACTAGGGATGTGCACTTAGGAGTGTGCCTGGCTTACCTCTATGGAATGGATTATCAGGGCTTCTTTCAGATTGGTTTCCTCCATTTTCATGTCTTTTTAGATAGGACTGCAGAGCTGACCTGCCTCAGATCAAGAAGGAAAGCCCACATGTGAGCAGGGCGTGGTGGCGCACGCCTGTAATCCCAGCACTCGGGAGGCTGAGGCAGGAGGATCATTGCAAGTTCGAGACCAGCCTGGGCTACAAAGTAAGCTCAAGGCCAGCCTGAACTGCATAGCGAGACCCTGTCTCAAAAAAAAAAGACAAAAAAAAAGAAAGAAAGCCCACATGTAATTGTCACTAAGACCAAACAGGTTTACACAGGTTACTGCTTAACTGTGCTTGCAGTGGCGCATGGGCAGACCGTGGAAGTGGGCCTCTTCAGTGGCTCCAAGCTCATAGCAAGCACTGGCCAAAGGTAATGCAAAAGAAATAACTATAAAACAAAACTGTTCTTTCAAATCAACAAATAAAACAAAAAGAAAAAATCTACATTGGAAATGAGAGGTTCCACGTAGGAGAAAGCAAATCTAGAATTTAGGGGAAAAAAAATAAAGCAGCTTTTTTAGGCTCCAGTGAGAGGCTGCCTGACAGATCAAATATAGCTTAAGGAACTCTGACCCTTGACTCACTCCCAGTCAAAAAGAGGAATAAAGTAACAGTGCATGGGAGAAAGTGCTTCTTTATTGCACATACCTTGATCTTGCAAAAAGGACATTGTACACAGTCTCTTCATCTTTGGAAAGCTTTAAATGATGTAGCTGAAATTTACGCTGGGGCAATGCCACCTGGAAGAATATGGACAAATGAAGCTGGTATAAAAATGAACTGAATACCACAGAGCAAATCCCCCAAATATAGTGAACCCAAAAGCAACTTTTACACTTTCCTAAAAATAACACAGCACAATAGGACTCAATAACATGGGGCGCAAGACCAAAATTCTGGGCCTCTTCACGGGAAAATGGGAAACTCAGAGGCTCCCGAAGCACATAACAGATGGCTGTGCAAACCTAAAAGTACATGGTCATCTCCCTGCCCCGCCTCCCCTGGGACAGGTATAAATTTGATTACCAAGGGTTTGCCAGTGGAGTCCAGTTGGTCTTTTGTTCTCCTCAGCAAAAGGCTCTTGGTTACAATACTTAACCGCTCTCCTCCTTTCTTTGAACCATTGTCGACCTGACTTTTCCACAGATTGAACTCATCAAATGGAGAACAGCGGAGAAATCTTTCTTGTTGGGAAGGACACAGAGTAGAGAAGAAGAAATATGAGAGAGAATGGAAAAAAGGTTCAAGGCAAGACATAAGATGAAAACTAATCAGATTTTGTTATATCTGCCATCCAATCATTTTTAAAAGTGAATTTCACAGCAAATCTCTGCAAGACAGATCAAAAGGCTCTATGTCAATAATGGATACCACATTTTAAAAATGTGACTTTTCCTATTAACAACGTCTACATTGTCTCAGTAGGACATATAACCAACAGCTAGAATTTATTCTGGAAGCTTCAAAGGCTAGCAAAGAAATTCGATATCCTTTTATGGGCTGACTTTGAATAAAAGCATATATTTTAAAATCAACATTCTTTTGTGTTTGCCTCAAATAAATTGCAGTCCTGACCTAGCCCAGATGTTTTAAAGGAGAAATAGCCCAAGACATTCATTAAATGAAAGAAAAATGACTTTTGCTTCCCTTAATTCAATCTACCTACATTTTTGTATAAATAGAGGCTGGATATAATCAAAGTCCTCTATCAGCCAGTCAATCAACAGATATTTTCTCATAAATATTAATTCTTTTGCCCTTTAAAGGTTGACAGGCTTGTCATCTGCTACACAAGATAATTTGGCACACATCAGAGCGTTATAACGAGACAAGAAATAATAATGAAGGGTTACAGACATGGCTCAGTACCACAATCCCAAGGAGTTTACTCACTTCAGCAGTGAATACATATCCAACAGGTTGTTTTGAATGGGGGTTCCAGTGACAGCCCAACGGGCACGGGCTTGCAGCTTGCACACAGCAACTGACGTCTGCACTTGCGGATTCTTCACATTGTGAGCTTCATCCAGTATGATTCGAGCCCAGACTATTTGGAGCAAAGGTGTTGAGAAGCCCTGGAAGAAACATAAGGGAAATCCAAGAACAGTATGGGAATATATTTCTTCTTCAAGGAGATAAACAAGGGTAACAAACAAGTATTAAGGACCCACTTTTACCCTCCAACTTGCTTAGATCAATTATACACAACGGAGTTGAAAACTCAAGAGCAAAACCTCTCACCTGGGTGCAAGAAACAGGTCACTTGAGAGTCTCAGTCCTTAAGCTTAAGATAACTAACAGTAAAATTTTTTTCTGATTTGAGGTTTCATTTATTCTTTCAAACTACATTTCAGCAATGGCTGTAAGCCTGCACATTTACTTCCTCAATAAAGTATTTACTAAATTTACTAAAAATTTACTAGAAATCTATTTTTACATCTAAGGTACTAAGCCGGACCTAAGGACAATTCTTAACCTCTAGCAAGGGAGAAAAACATAATTATACATGATATATATATACAGAAAGTCATACTTGAGAACCCGGCACATGCCAGAGGGACGCTACCTGCTCTTTTCACTGTGGCACCCATGACACCTGAGACAGCCGCTGACATAGAGGAGTGCCATATTTGCTGCACGGGTTGCTGTGAATAAGTAAGCACAAAGTGCTACAAGAGACATTCAACCAAATGGTGAGAAAGGAGTGGCCCAGAAAGGATTCTTGAAGCAGGTTAAAACAGAAAGTAATAACCTGGAAAAACAAGTGGCAGCATAACACTGCATTTAGCAAGAGAGGGCAAAATGTCTGAGGGAGCATGACAGTGACTAGACATCCATCGGTATGACACAGCATGAGCGCCATAGGGAGGTGAAGGTTGATGAGTGATGAGGGACACACAGGTCCAGCGGGACCACAGTGTACCTAATATACCACATGAAGGAATTTGGATTTTAACTAGAAAGCAATGGGCAACTATCAAGGAATTGGAGAAGTTCATCATTTATAAGAAGTCAGTGCGGGGAGTAGTGGCACATGCCTGTAATCCCAGCACTCGAGAGGCTGAGGCAGGATCATTGCAAGTTTGAGACCAGCCTGGGCTACAAAGTGAGTTCAAGGCCAGCCTGAACTACATAGTGATACCCTGTCTCAAAAAAAAGAAGAAGTCAGTGTTAATCATGAATCTGAGACCAGATTCTAGAGATCTCCCTAATAAAGAAATCTGTGACTAAAAATAAGAACATATATACAAACTTAGTTCTTAGAATAATACTGTATTTTCATAGCAGTTGGGGGGAATCCTTATAATAATTATATAATAAAGCCTTTAATTCACAGATCTGCCCCAAAACACTCAGGGTTTCTCATGGTTACTAGTTAGCTTCTGGCCTGTCATCCTATTACTTTCATAAATTGAATTCATTCATAATCCAACAAAGTGAATCTTATACAATACACCTGGGGAAGTTTACAACTCAAATGTTCCTAAGGTGAGGAATTACTGCATTTGCAATGCTTTTTTTTAGGAAGTAGAGAGGAGGCAAGGAATGATGGTCTAATACCAAAACATGTATGAAAATACTGCTTTGCACACTAAATATGCAAAATAACATGAGAGTATATCTACTCCACACACTGTTAAGCTAAAAATAGCAACAAGTATAGTTTTCTTATATTCACGGGGTTATTAACATTACAAATGCAGTGTAGTTAACTTTAGTCCTAACACACAGCTGAACCCGGCACCAAATATCAACCTTCCTCTCTGAGGTCACTACAATGAGAGAAACGAAACAAGAAATAACTGAAGAATGTCCACAGGTAGACCATTTAGAATATTCCTGACCTTACAAGAAGGCACCTTTGCTCTCACTGAGGCTGTCAAAAGATGCCTGTTAGATGATGTGCGGCTCCAGTTCTATCTCCCCAAAACCCCAAGTCTCACCTCCACACTGAGGTTTTCACCTGGGACCTCTTTCTCCTGCTTCTTTGTGGGAATCTCTTTGGCCAGAAGGCTGTAAGTAGTAATCACGATGTCATACATAGAGAGGCTGCACAGACACAACACAAAGAACACAGTAAACAATCCCTCTAGTACTCTGACAAGAGACAGAGTTGATATTTTTATAAAATAGCCCAGGGCTGGTAGGATAGACAACAGGATTAACATATTCCTTAATACACACAAACATACATCTTTTAGAGGTAAATTTTACCTATTTAGCTGCAAGAAGAGAGAACAGATTTGATTGTGTCCTGCATATGTGCATGTGTGGGCATGTGCGCGTGTGCGCACACACGCACACACACACACACACACACACACACACACAATTTTAGGGAGGTAAACTTTACCACCTGGCTTCCATATTTCTTTCCTCTGATCATTTTTACAGTCTGTTCACCATAGCTAGAACAACCTCCCTATTCCCATCCAATAAGCCAGAAAGGAAAACCTCTGGGTGGGGTTATATTTAACTTGACATAACCTGGCCAAAACAGAAAGTAGGGAACTGATGTTTAATAGTGATTTGATAGGAAAACAATTAAAATCTCAGAGAGAAAAGAAATCCTCAAAGCATAGCTCACTTCACAACAGTGATGCTTTCTCTCTACTGTAATGGATTTGTGTAAACCCACTAATTTAACTATATGTATAAAAATACATGCTATAAGCTTTCTGTTTACCTTGCCTGCACTCTTTCCATGTAAAGATGCTTATTAACAATACAAGTACTATTCCAAAGAAGATTAATATAGTGTACCTGATAGACTGTCAGTAAAAACTTTTGATAAATATGATATGCCTAATTCACAGAGGCAGCAATGTTTATAAGTTAATTTAGCATGATATATAAAGTATAATTGAGAATGATTCCAACCAATCAACTAGTATATTTTGACTATCAAACTAGTTATCCTCAAAGCATAAATAAAGTGAGGCCCAATTTACCTATTTAAAAAATTCAGAAAAAAGACAGACAACTCGAAGTACTCTCTGCAGGGAAAGTCTGAAGGTCTGTCGTTGGTGCCCTGATTCCTTCTGCGTGCTGAAATGATTATTAGTTACAAGAGTTGTGGTATAAGACTGAGGGTCACCAACCTGGCAATTTTTTTTGGAAAGATTGCTGCCCTGTTCTTTATGAGATATCTCTAATACCAAAGGTTAAGAAGAGAGATTATTTAAAGGTAGCAAAAACTTTGACCTTATGCATGATTAAAACACTAACATATTCACTTCAGAGAGTCACATCACAATTAGGAACATAAAGCAATTCCTTTAAAAACAGAAAACAGGGCTGGGGGTATAGCTCAGTGGTAAAGCAATTGGTTAGCATGCAGCAGAACTTGAGTGCAATCCCCAGCAACCAAAAAAAAAAAAAAGAGAGTAGGACTAACACCTGCTATAATCTTTCCTCCTTCTTGAGCATCCCACTTCAAAAATTTACAGTTAGGTCTAATATTCCACTGCAAATCATCCTAAATTCATAAGTCTAAAACTTCTTAGACAGTTGTATATAAAAATATTGCCATAAAAACATGGAAACACACATATGTACATATATACATACACACTTTATTCACTTACCTATCTAGCCTATAGCAAGTAAGCATTAGAATTTTATTAAGACACTCAGATTGGGATGGGATGGTTCCATTCACACAGACAGAAAAGGAGCGAGAGTTCTAGAGTCACAACTTTAGCAACCAAGATACTACGATGTAGCCTCATTTGCCAGGGAACGCTGCTGCCACCTGGCTGACAACTCAGGCATCTCAGGCTTCTCACATGCCAGTCTTTATAGAGGACAAAGACAAGGACAAGGCAAAAGAGTAGCATTTGATCTCAAGATGTATCTCTTAGTAAAAGACAAAGGCTGTTTGGTGATGAGAATGAAAATCTTCCCTTGATCTTCACACACGTCACTAGTCCTGATGAAACAAAGCTCAGTAAGTGGAAAATTCAGCAGGGCCCCTGAGCCCAGGTGCTGGGCACCCCCAAGACCACAGTACTTTGCACTTACACTTTTGCATGCTGATTCCGGTTTGGCCCATGATAGAGATAGACTCTTAGTTTGTTGCTGTTCACACGTTTCTCTACCTCATTTTTCCAGTGATGGATCAGGGAAGCAGGACAGACAATTAGTGTTCCATGGGAAGTATAGACAGAGGAGTCTTGAGGGGAACAAAATAAATCAATATCTAGTTACATTCATTAAATAGCCTGTAACTTCGTTAGGGCATTACCTCTTTCTCTTGGCTGGTTTTATTTCTTCAATCAATATTTTTAACTGTTGCTCTTATTTCTACACAGAGCTGACTAGGAAATGGAAGAGATAGTCTTATAAACCAAATTAATTATTTATCTTTCCCTTTAACAGTGTTAGGAGCCAGGCATGGTAGCAACCTGCTTAGTTGTTAGCAACTTAGTTGCATAGCAACCCAGTACTATGGGAGGCTGAAGTAGGGGGATCACAGGTTCAATTCTAGCCTTGGCAATTTAGCAACATAGCAAAATCCTGTGTCAAAATAAAAAATAAAAAGGTCTGGGGATATAGGTTAGTGCTAAGGCCCTAGGTTCAATTCCCAGCATCAATCAATCAATCAATCAATCAATTAGGAAATCAGCCAGCCATTCAGACAGAAAGAAAAGCTAAAGAAAGTAGGCAATATGTGATCTTAGTCTGAAAAAGAAATGCTCTTCCAGAGTGGCCAGGGTAGACACTGGATCATTTCTTAACGCTTCCTAAGTTGATTCATAATAGGGCAGTATTATTATTCTTTTCTGAAAAGTATCATTTAATGTACTTCTATATTAAAATATTAAGCACAAATTTTTATGTGTCAATTAAAACACACACATCCTCTTATAAAATAAGCAAACACTACACTGGAACCATCTAGTGACAGAGCCTGGGTACCACTGCGCCTCATCTGTGTACATTCACATACTGCCCCGCATAGGGTCATGCAACAGGAGTCATCACAGGCCCTGAGAGCAGGGGGCCTCAAACTACCTATACAACCAAGAGGAAATGTACATGGCCACTTACATGCGGTGTTATCTTCACATAATATACAGGATCTTTATGTATAAAGTTATTATATTTTAAATATATAAGTCAAGATGAGATTATAACTGTTTATCATCTAGAAATGTCTGGAATTTCAGAAACATGGGAAAAGAAGTTTCCAATACAGATGCTAAAATGTGAATTTGTGACAAATTTCCCTTAAAAAGATTATATGTTCATTTGGCTCTACCTTGGAGTTTATTCTCAATATCAACAAAAATAATAATTACTATACTTATTCCATAAATATTTTCTAATCACAGATGAAGCTGCATTTACATTAAAAGGGAAAAACTGATCACTTACACTCTGTATACTCAGCATCAGAAGTGATACCATAGGAAAGCAGTCAAATACTGGTTTTCTAGATTAATTAAATAAAATCAAAGGTGTCCTTTGGCAGCTTAAAAATGTTCCCTGTCAGCTGGTTCAAAGGATTTGGGAAATGGCATTAGACACTTTTATCTACCATTTTTGGAAATCCACGTCAAAGCCACCTTGTCTTTTTCTTTGCTTTTCTCTTGATTTTTCTGGGTCAGGATAAGTGCAATCATTGTCAAGGTTTTTCCTAAGCCCATATCATCCGCTGGAAAACAAAAACACAATAAGGAACAAATTACTTGGGGGCAAAGAACTGACACCACTGCCCCTGTTCTCTTTGATGCCAGTGTTATTCTTATCATTATCTTTGCCTCCCTTAATAGATTCTCTATCTTCCTTGTTAAAATCAATCCTACCTTTATTATTTATTTGGAAATCTAGGCCAGACATTTACTGACTCTTGTAGCATTTAGCACATATAATATTGGATCTTATTCTAGTCTCCATACTACACTGTTACCCTATCCAACACTGTGCTGGATAGTATCTATTCTTGTTTAACGATGTTACATACACTTTTTATCTGTTACCTCCAAAAGCAAAATAGTCCAGCCATGACATGTCCCACCACCTAGTTTACTGCTACCACAGACTCTAAGCAGTCCTCCATGGCCTTACTTTCTTCATCAAAGAAGGTTGTAACCTAACACTTCTTAGGTACCATCACTGTTCAGTCGTGGACCTTACCTACTGTACTCTTCATACCCTACACAGTACTCCTTCCTAATTTTATCAGTCATGACACTGAGGCTCAGACCCCAGGCCGCTGCATTTACTTGAAACAATCGTTCTGACAGAATGGAAGAAAACCACAGCATGGGCTATGACTCACGGCGGGCACTGCTAATGTGCTGAAAAGTCAACAGAGCAGGCCTCTGAGCTGACCTTTGAAAGGGTGGCCCTTGGCAGCTGCCTGGAACTCATACTCAGGCAGAGCTCTCACCATGGCACAGCTGATGAGTGGCTCATTTTGCCTGAATCATCTGCACAATCACTATCATTTAAGTGTAATACTGCTGTCTCTCTGGGTGTCTGGAATTTTGGTACCTGCCAGGCTGAAGCGGCCCCTGTGACCTGTCTCCAGTAAACACTCTGAGAACTAAGTCTCTAACAAACTTCTCTGGTTGGGAACATTTTGCTAGCGTTGTTGTAACTCACTGTGGGGAACTGAAAGCAACCTGTGTGACTCCACTAGAAGACTCTCAAAGCCTGTATCAGCTTTCCCCGGGATTTTGCCCCATGTGCCTTTTCCTCTTGCTGACTGTGATCTGTATTCTTTGACTGCAATAAATCACACCCATAAGTATGGCTATATGCTGAGTCCTACAAACATATCACATAGCATTGGTTTTCTCCAGTGCTTATAGCAAAGACGTCATGATCAGTTTATAACAAGGCTATGGCCAGTTCTCCTGGAACTGGACTGCAGCCTGGCATTCCACTTCTTTTAGAGTATCTGGGGGACACCACACAATAAACTACTCCTTGCTTAATCAGTCCTCTTATCTCTTCTGCTGCAGCTGTATATTTTTGTGCAAGCTGCTTAACACTTCTACAGTTGTTTCCTCAACGGTAAAATGCAGAATCATAGTACCTGCTTATAGAATGAGGAAGAACTGAATAAAACCATACATTTAGCACAATGCCTAAGCATTCTTGGCTTTTAACTATAGTACCAAACTTACCCAGGATCCCTCCCTGTGGCTTCTGGCTTTCCCGCCATAGTAACCAGGCTAATGCCTGCTTCTGGTGCAGTAGCAAAGGGACCTGACAAAGGTAATAACCAAATGTTAAGCATAAATTCCTAATGAAAAGCTACACTAAGTGCTGGTCACATGGACTCTGCACTCTTATTTTCTATCAGCTGTTGCTCTAACATTCTAGTTGTTTTATAAGCTGCTTAAGTCACTGATGCATCAACGTTGTAGTTGTGGTTTACGTCTAATGTTCAGTATTTCTATCAGGAGGCTCACTCCTTGAGTGAGCCTGAGTCCTAGTTTTCTGCTTAGTGAAAGCAGTAAAAAGAAAAAAAATAGCTGAACTCAGCGTCTGCCTCTTACAACCAAGACTTCTGACTGCATAGCCCACTTTCACTAGCCATGCTGTTGGCTTGTCCCAATTATCTCTTAAATTTGACTCTCCTCTGTTTAATCGACATCCCAGTCTGTGCTGCTAATCAGAGATTTCAATTTAACTGGAGGCCCCATCTCACCTTTGTGTGTTCCAGTTTACCTTATACTCTGTGAGAAAATTATACTTCATAAAATTCCCTGCTCAAAATTCTACTGATTCCACAATTTATCTGGAGCTATTCAAATCTAAGTTCTTTTATCAATGCCAGGCTCCACAGCAACGAAACCCCCCCAAACAACCTGCTCCTCCCAGCTTGGAGACCAAAGACACCTCATTATCACTTAGCAATACCAACCTCCCCTCTGCTACCACTCCTTCTGACTGCTGTTTTATTTCCATTCTCTCTACCAAAGACCTGCACTTTCTTTAAGGCACAAAGTAGGCAGGCAAGTTCTGACTTAGAGTGATGTTTCCTTTATTTTGAATCCCCTTTATACTTTGTATATAGCTGTCCTACAATACAAGGCAACTTTATCTTTGTTTTAGGTATTTTCTAATTGTTTGTAATGTCTTGTATGTACTTTCACTCTAACTCATTCATCATGAATAGATTCTTTTGCTGCCTTGTGGCCCCTACCAAAACTTACTAAATGGATCCTTTTATGCTATAGAAATTTATAACCTACAACTTTGTTTCACAGTACTCTGTCTTCACAGACTCCAACACTACTGTCACTCTGCCCTGGCTCACCCTCAAGCCAGCTGGATCTTCTGCCACCGCTGTCTCACCAGGACAGGACTCCAGTGATCGATGCAGCTCATCGATGGCCTCACTTGTGACTTTCCACACTGCATAATAGTGATCTTGGTTTCTAGGGCCTGCAGACAAATAGGTGTTACCCAAAGATGGCACAAGTGCTGTGGCTTGGCTACAGCTGCAAAACAGCAATTACTCATTTGTCAAGTGGTGGATCTTTATTGACTAAAAATTCTTGCCTCCAGGCTCACCTGCCCTCACAGACTTCTCTGTTCTCATTCTCTGTTTGTGTTTATAAACACAAAAACAATAACTGTAACATTGGACAAAATAATAGAAAGTATAATGAAAAGATAAGCCACCTCTCTTTCTTTCTTCCTTTTTTTTTTAATGCTTAATTTTTTTTATTTGGACTAATTTTACATGCTTATATCTGGTAATCTGACCAACTACTACTTTGAAGACAATATGCAACATAACAGCCATTGTTTTTTTCTTAATTTATTTTAAAAATAAAAGAAGGAAAACATATTAACAAACAGACATCCATTTACAAAATAGCATAGGAACAATACAAGCAATACAGAGTTACAGACAAAGTGGTAGGAAATTAACAATGGCTGTTGTATTACTATTGATATCTTCAAAGTGGTTTCTCAGGAAAACAAATAGAGACATGCAAGACAGATCAAACAGTAATCATTAACTGTTTCTTCCTTTTTTTCTTTTGTATTTCTGCAGTGCTGGAGATAGAAACCAGGGCTTCGCACACGCAAAGAAAGTGCTTTATCAGTGAGCTACACCCAGTCCCATTCTTGATATTTTTGATAGTTTATTTTCCAGCTTTGAAAAGTTGGCAGAGAAAAAGTAACATCACCCAGTATTTTAGGAAGAAATGATCCCTGGCTGAAAAGAAAAAAAAGCCAGCAAAAAAAAAAAAAGGCCGGGGTAGAAGTCATTGTTGAAGTCTGAGTATACAGGGAGGGAGGCCCCCAGTGTTCAGGTCATGGGCTGACTACTACTGCACTACTGTTAGCCCATTCATTCTATACAGATGACTTTTACAAGAAGTTAGTTAATAACAACAGGGACCTTGATTGTCTGCAATTTTAGGGATAAAGCATTCCAAGACAAAGTGTTCTGGACAAATGAACACCAATTAAACGCTAAAATGTTTTAGAACTATCTTAATGAAATTATTTCCAAGATATATCACATGTATTTTATCATAATAATTTAACATAATGTAATGGTTCTCTAGGTGACTCAGTCACCATTATTTTATGAAACGATACTGTAACATGGCAATGTTTTCAAAGGGCCTGAGTAACCAAGTCTTCTATGATACTTGAACAAGTTGGCTTTCTCATTTCCTTCTAGAGTGGCCTTAACCTTCAAATGGCTCCACATCTATTTCTCACCCCTTTGCTAATACTTAATACTGTCCTTCAACTTTTTACATCTCTAGCAGTTCTTCAGTGGGAGAAATTTGGCTTTTCTATGTAGTTCCTGCCAGGCAACCTGAGCTTCTGTCTCCAGACTGCAAACCAGCTCATAAGATGACACAATTAATCTATTTAGGACCTTCATTCTGCAAAGTTGTCTGGGAAGTTTTCAATGGAGATGCTTAGCTGTACAGGGGGTTACTTTTCTCTGTGGGTCTGTAAGTTACTGGTTTTCAGTTATATCACTCTTCTGCTCTGCCTTAGCACACACTCATCCACATGCCGGTCTACCTACCTGATAATAGTATTTGCTAGAGTTTTCACTCACAGGCATTGACAGGTGAGTTCTATGTTGGCCACTTGTCTGACTGATGAGCATACAATGGTACAAGGCAGACACAGTCTCTGGGCCCACAGGGATCTAAGCAACACTGTACAAAGCTCTACAAAGTATTATGACCTTAATTTGCATGTGACTTTCAATTCTAGAATGGCCTCTCCCTTCTCATGGGTAAAGACACCTGTTAGTTAACATTTAACTCACAGGGTAGCTCTTCCCAGGAGCTTAGATCCTACCTCCAGCAGCTCCCTGACAGGCTGCCTTCAGTCCTAGAGATCCCAGAGGCTGAAGATCATGACCCGGAAGGGGTTGGGCAGGCACCACTTGGGGAGGGTCAGTGGCAGCTTTGGTGAAGTTGCTCTGTTTTGATGCTTGAGCATTACTATTCTCATTAGCTCCTACTCAAGAAACAAGGAAAGAACAGATTAAAGTTGATAAGAGCAAGTAAAGGAATTGTCTGTGTGGAGGTAAGCTTACTGCCAATCCAATAGGCTGGGGAAGGCCTCATAGAGAACATAGTGTTTTAACAGTACTTAAACAATGGCAAAGACAATTTTAGTCACAAAAAATTGGAGATAGTTTTTTATAAATTGTAGGTATAATGTAAAAGAAAGAACAAAAGCAGACAGTAGAACAGAAAGGTGAATGGATCAACACATTCTTTATCAAAATGTCTCTTTTCAGGTTTAAGAAAACCCTGAGTCCTGGGGCATAACCCACTTACCTTGCTCTGGGGAGAGGGTCAGGGCACCAAGTGCTTCTTCCAACACCTGGATTTGCTTTAATAACTTCTCACCCTTATCTGGAAGAGCCTGGATGTTCACTGATGCCAATGTGCTCTGAAAAACAGATCCTATCAAATGGATTGTTCCTGCCCAGTTGTTAGAGGGTGGCTTCAGATTAAAACTAAAATTATGGACTTTTAACTATGTGTGGAAAAACTGGGCTTTTTTTTTTTAATCCAGCTGGCTTATAAACCCTTACAAATATAAACATAGGAAAAGTGAGAAACTTAAACATCCACCTATACAACCTTCCCAGGGTTGCCATAAAGCTCTTCGGATAGTGTCTCCTAGCTGCCCACAGCAAGTAATCCTTTGCTCTGAGAAACAAAGCACAAGCCATGAGTTACCTTCTTTTGTCTGAGCTGTGTGGTAAGGTACACATGCTGGGCTGCTGAGCTGGAGGGTTCTACCTTGCTGGAAATACTTGTGGCTATAGGTATTTTTCTTTGCGCACTTTGATCAGGGAGGGGAAGATTGTCCTTCTTTTCTTTGTCCATCGTCGAGGCAAAGAGTAGTGGGCTCTCTGGCCTACCAGAAGCTAAAGCAACATCATCTTCCTCACTATCATCACTGCTAGAGGCAGCCTCTCCCAGAGAAAGCCCTGGTGCCACTGGTCCTTTCTGATCAGGCCCATGGGCTTCCACCTGGGCCTGGCAATGCTCCCGGGGGAGCCTTTTCTGGAAGTTCTGTGTAGTTGGGCCATCCTTTGCCTCTGATTCCTTAGCCTTGCAGTTCTTGAGGTGAGCCTTGCTGAGGTGTCCCTCTTTCTGGGGCTGGTTTACTGGGTTCTGACAGTGAACAGTTCGAGGTAGAAGCTGGGCTTTCTTTCCTCTCAGAAGGTCTGATTTGTTTTGGACATCCTGAAATTCACCATCTGACTTCTCCTGAGGAGACACGGATGCTGCTCTCAGTTCATTTCCATTGCGCTGTTCGGAGGCATTTCCTTCAGGCTCCTCCTCTCCACACTGAGCCTCTATTCTTTCCCCTTGCTCATTCTCTTGAACTCCAGGTTGCTTTTTCTTTATCACCAGGCTACATGAGAGGCCTTTCTCCATCTGGCAGTTAGAGTCAGGCTTCTGCACCTTCTTTTGATCTAAGAGCTGGTCTCCCTTTTCCCTTGGCTTCCTATCATCTGGCTTTTTCTCACCTTCCCTTTGGATGGACTGTTTCCAAAGAGTTGGTTCTCGATTCTTGTCAAGCACCTTGAATGGGTTTCTCAGCTGGCTGGAAGGATGAGGAAATGGCTCAGAGGTGTGACACTTACTGGTGACAGGATGTTCTTTAGAATTAGGATCCTAGGGACAATGAAAATAATTGCAATGTAAAACAACGCAATCTGTGTATCTAGAGTACTCCTTTTTTCAGAGAAAATGGAAATACAATACAAGTGGCTTACTATTTCTGAACATTTCTGGTATCATTTTTCCATCTAAAAAAGAACAGGTGTTAAACTCACAAAGACTTGGTTTCTTAACTTTCAATGCTTGGTTCCTTCTCTGTCCATGATCAAACTTTTCTAAGCCTGGAGGGAAAGTCAGACTAAACCAAAGTGGTTTTTATGACCCAATAGCCACAATGTATATTCTTTAGGAAAACCAATCTCTCAAGATGAACTTGTCCCCAAACCTAAACACTGACTTACTATACTTACTTTGATGTTTGGCTTTAAGAAGATTTCACTGGAGGAAATACAGAACCAAGATCTAAGCCATATCTTTGCCCAGGTAAGTACTATCACTTCCCCATGTCTAGCTTCCCATGTATTGGATATCTGTAAGGTCTGTCTTTGTTTTACCATTCTAGGTGCTTATGAGTTATATTTAGCTTATTCCAAAAGTTAGTCAAGAATATCTGATTTTTTTCCTAACTAGGACAGTACTGAATACACTTAATATCCTGAAAAATATTTGAATGAGTGAAATAGGAGACATAAAATCCTGACTATAACAAATGGTTGGGGCTGAGGATTTAGCTCAGCAGCACTGCCCGGCAGTGCTGTATTTCCTCCAGTGAAATCTTCTTAAAGCCAAACATCAAAGTAAGTATAGTAAGTCAGTGTTTAGGTTTGGGGACAAGTTCATCTTGAGAGATTGGTTTTCCTAAAGAATATACATTGTGGCTATTGGGTCATAAAAACCACTTTGGTTTAGTCTGACTTTCCCTCCAGGCTTAGAAAAGTTTGATCATGGACAGAGAAGGAACCAAGCATTGAAACACAAGTTCATGAGTTCAATTCCCGGTACCGGGGAAAAAAAAAAAGGTCCAAAAAAAAAAATGGTTCTTTGAATTATAGTCTCTTTAGGATCTATCCTGCATAAAGAAAACTCTTTCAGATCCAATTCGAAGAAGACTACAGGTTTACATGGACTGCAATGTCTTTTCAGTAGGTGCTGTACTTAACAGTTTTAACACAGATCTGAAAACAGATGAACAATTCCTACCTGCCATGGAACACTTCCACACCATCGTTTCCCCTCTTTCTTACTTCTAGTGCATCGGAAGAACAACCTAATGAAGTATAAAGTACAAATAATCAAGGCTACAAAAAGGCTTTAAAATTTGAGCTTATTTTTAATCTAAGGAAATGTCTTACAACTATCTGATCCTGGCTTTGGGATGTCATCTGAAACCAATTACACTAGTAATTTGATTCAGTTCTCATCCAATTCAGTTTGTGACCAGAACTGTGCAAAGAATTAAATTCATGAACTGAGTGAAGCACCACTGTATATACATAAGAAGTTTTACTGAAGGGTGAGCGGCACACACCTATAATCCCAGCACTCTGGGAGGCTGAGGTAGCAGAACTGTAAACTGAGGCTCCACCTGGATAATTTAGTGATTTGGCAAGATCTTGACCCTGTATTAAAATAAAAATTGAAAAAAGAGCTGGGCTGGGGATGTAGCTCAGTGCAAAGGCCCTGCACTCAATCCCCAGCACCAAAAAAACAAACAAAAAAACCTTTACTGCACAAGACATTTTAAAGCCTAGGAAATCAAAGAATAAAGATGATATAACCACAAAGCATGCACAGGTCTGTTGTTTTCATTCTGTAAAAAACACTAAAATGGAGACATTGATCAGCAATGGCTGCTACCGTCAAAAGAAGAGAGATCACCAAACATTGTGCAGCTGGTAAGGATGCCACAATAATACTACCTATAAAAGTATGTTGAAAAAACATCCTTCAAAACTAAAAAGGAACCCGAATCTGGTCAGACTTCTAAATCCAATTACCAATTCACAGGAAATACAAAGAAAGGAAAGAACATGCAAAACTAGACCATGGGGAATATAACCTACAAAATTTTGACACTGGGAAATATTATAGGACAAACGCCTTATTATCTTTAACAAGTTACAATATATCTCTTTATTCACAACTGTGTCTTGCCTTTTGGTTAAGTACTACTGAATAAAAGAGAATGATTTTCTTCACTGCTTAAAATGGTTCCTAAAAAGTTTTAGCCACTTAAGAGTTTTAATACATACTTTGTTTAAACAGTAATGTACTCGATGGAAAAGTATAAAAAGGTAGTGAAAACCACCTTCCAATACCCTATTTGCCCAATTTACCCTCCTCCCAATATGTAACCATTCTTATTGTTTTTTTTTTTTATCTTTCTGGAGATTTTCAAATGCACATTAAAGTCAATACAAATATATATATTTATTTTTTTCCTCTTCTGCACAAATGGGTACCATAATACAAGATGAGTAGGTCTTATCCAAAACTCTGAAATACTTCAAATTCCAAACCTTTTGAGCACCAGTATGACGCTACAGTGGAAAATTCTATATTTTAAAACTTTGTTTCATGCAAAAAATTATTTAAAACACTGTAGTAATTACCTTTGGGCTATATGTGTAAGGTATATATGAAACAAACTAATTTCACGTTTAGATTTGGGTCCCAACCCCATGATAGCCGCATAAGCAAATATTCCAACATCTGAAAAACTTTGCAACCTGAAAATATTCCCAGTCTCAAGCACTTTAGAGAAGAAATACTCAACCTGAACTATATTTTGCCATTCTTTAAAACTTAATATGCTTTGGATATTTTTCTCTAAGAACATGTATATAAAGGACTTTTTCAAATATATATTTTACAGATAGTTTTCCACTTAAAGATCTTGTATTATTTTTAACCAAACCCTCCTTATGGGCAATGAACTCTTTACTGGAAGATTTCAACAATAGTATCTGTTTTACTTTTTTAAATATATATTATTAGTACATGTTTGTAGTACGTTATGTTCATTGTGGGGACTGGCATATGTATATAACACATCTTAATTCTTTTTAAGTCCCTTTACCCTCCTCTCCATTCCCATTTGCAAAAGATCTATTGCCCTGTTTCCTATCATCTTTTATTTTGCTCTTTATTTGGGTTGCTATTTAAGTTGTTATTTGCTACACTTTGGGTTTCTCATACAAGATAAATCATGTGATATTTAAGCTTATGTGTCTGATTTATTTCAGTTAACATTATGGCCTCAAGATATATACATTTTCCTACAAATGATTCAAATTTGTCCTTCTTTATGCCAGAGTAATACTCCATTGTGTAGAAATACCATATTTTCTTTATCCATTCATCTGCTAACAGACAAATAGGCCACTTTCAAGCTTTATCTATTACGAGTTGTACTACTATAAACGTGTACTACTATAAACATGTGTGTGTCATTGTACTATGATATCTTTCAACTGTTTCAAGAAGATCTCTAGGAGAGGCATAGCTGGGTCAAATAAATTTTTATTGCTGGGTGTGGTGGCGCACACCTGTAATCCCAGCACTCGGGAGAGGCTGAGGCAGGAGGATTGTTACGAGTTTGAGACCAGCCTGGGCTACAAAGTGAGCTCAAGGCCAGCTTGAACTGCATAACAAGACCCTGTCTTAGAAAGACAAAAAACAAAAACAAATAAATTTCTATTTTAAAATCCAAGCCAAGTAGACTTTCAGGACAAGAGTTAGAAAAAAAACGAAAAAACAACATATATTGAACATTTACTATCTGCTAGGCATAGTGCTCAAATGCTTCAGTTATATTTTTAACTAAGAGATCTAGCAAAGTATTAAATTGATTCTTCTTAGGATAAAAAGTTCCTATCTGTTATGTTTACTAAATTTTAAATCTACAAAGGAGATAATGGAAATATATTCTCAAAGAGACAGAAATATTGGTTCTACTTATAGGAGAACATAATTTTTGCAACATATTTATTAACTGTTTCTCAGGACAAAGGTTTTAAAAAATAATGATGATGAATCCCGCTAGAGGAAGCCAGATGTCCTCAATCCTACTTCTTCACCAGAAAACAAGTCCTGCTTCTTATTACAGGTAACTGTCAGTCCAGCAGGGCATGTCAGGCACATTCACTTCAGCAAGGTGGGGATTTGCTCAGGCTCCAAAATGCTCTCCTCTGGAAGTTTAAATGCCAGCCCTTGCACATAATCAGCTCTGAGTCATTAGACACCCTACTTGACTGCCCCCTGTGGCAGTTTCCTTTTCTGTAAACTAATGAAGTCATAATAATAGCACCTACACCACTCCAGTTGGTCAGTATGAATATTAAATACATCAATGCATGTAAAGCTAAATCATGAGCTCATTCTTGCCAGCCATTATACTTATTCCTGTATCCACATTTCTGCTCATGCTGCTTTGCCTGGAGCACTTTTTTTATCCTTTCCTCTGTCAAAATTTTAAAGTTCACTCAAGGCCAAGCATTAAGTCTCAACTACTCCATATTCTTAACCTTAGTCCTTTACTGTGGGTCCTGAGAGTCATAGAACCATCTGGCATCTGAACACATTTGATTTAGTGTCCTAACTGCAGGTCAGACTGCTCCCCCATCCTGGTGTGTCAAAGGGTCCTCAGGGGTACAAGTCCACATCCTTACATGGTCAGCATTGCAAAAACATAAAGTTGGGTTTCTGTCTTATTTGTTTACACTAAAATTCAAAATGAAACAAAAATCTAAAAAACAAAATTCTAGTGTCCTAGGGAAAAACAGATAGTTCTGTAATCCTACTGTGAAAGAGGCTTTTCTAAACATCACATAAAACTCTAAACCTGACAGATAAAGCATTTAGTAATTTGACCACATAAAAGTTTTAAATTCCCATATCGTAAAACTACTCCAGGGAAAATTATAAGACAAAAGGCAAACGGGAAAAAGTAAGTCACACAGATTACAAAGGGCTAATATTCTTTACATACAAAAATTCCTTCCACCGTGTAGTACAAAGCATGATACTCTACATTCCTAATAAGTCATGCCTTTATCAAGTGGGGTTCTTCGTGACTGGTGGGGCCTGAGGGCCTTCTGCATGGGTCTGGCGCAGGCCCAAACATCTCTCTATCATCAACCTCCTGGTTACATCGAGGTGGATACTCTGCAGGTCAGTTTCATACAAAACCCAAGTCAAGGGGTTTTTAGACATGTAAAGATTCAGGTGTTGTTAAAAATAAAATACTCTGAACATCCTACCACAACCCGTGAAAAATACTAAAACTTGTTTGGCAAAGGAATACAATATGTCCATCTATTTTGATTCCCATATCCTTGAAATAATAACAAAGAGAGGAAAGAACTTGAACTCAGGAGCTCGATGACAATGTCCAACACTTAAGTACAGTGTATGCTGCACTATTAATGTCAAAGCAAGATTTGTTCCCTTTGGTTCTCTTGAGAGACTATCTTAGTTTTCTTTATTGTGCATACACTGAGGGCCAGTCAAATGCTGGTGAGTGGTACCATCTGCTGTTTAAATAGGAGAACTACACACAAATGCTGTTACACTGCAAGGCATGAAAATAGGTGTCTTAGCCTCAGTTTACACTTTACTTCCATTACTGCACCTATCTATCCTAGCTCCTTTAGGCCAAATATGGTCTTAGAGGGTATAAAATACTTAAATTCTTGAAAAGAAAATTCAGTTTTCATGAAGGAAAGGAAGAAGTCCCCAAAGTCATTCTCCAGAGTACAGAATGTCCAGCTAAATACTCTTACTCTCTGTTACAGTCTGAATTTCAGCCTGTATTACCTATCATGGTACCTGTTTGGGTGTGTGTGTGTATGTGTGTGTGTGTGGTTTGTTTCTGTCTTTTAATGTGTTGTATGCTGAGAACTGTATTTTATTTGTTTTAAAAAAAACTTTTTAAAGTGCCAGTGTGTCAGTAAATACCTCCTAGTAACAGTGTCCTCGATGATTTGAGCTAAAAAATATGTGTAGTATACTTATACATAAGACATGGTTAGTCCATTGCTCTTTGTTAGCAATATATCCAAATCCTCTACTGATGTTACCTTTCCCTTCTTGTCTTGCTTAGTAGAAACTGATCACCCAGAAATTCCATCTTAGTGACTATTTCCTGAGCGATGACAATATGCACAACAGACTGGGTACATCCTACATATTCTGAGTTCTCACAACCTGGAGAAGCCAGGATGACTATCACTGCTGCTCCAGAAGAGAAAGTGGCGGAAAGACACTTATGAATTCTAATTCTCTGTGAAGAAATTTTCTCTAGCCTAAATGCACTCAAATCACTCCCCACTCCCTCATTCACATCCATGTCTTTTAGGGAAGACGCCATTTAGAATCAGTTATAGGTTTGACTCCCGCAATGTCACTTCATAAATATGTGACCTCAGATACCTTTTCTAACCTGTCTAGTGGCAATCTCCCCATCTAACTATAAAAATAGAGCTAATGAAACTATCAAAACAGATGGTTATGGAAGATAAGGAATAGCATGTCATTTACTAGGCATTTGATAGCAGCTATGCTTCAACTGTCTTTTTAATAGTGCTTTCACTATCTTCACTTTGTAATCTTCATAGTTCTTTTAATGCAAATTGGAAATCCTGCAGCTGTCTCTTACCACATACAAAAGAGGCTCCCCAATAGTAAGCACATATGTAATTTTTTTTTTAATCCTTCATACAGAACTATATCACCAACCATTTCATTATTATTTGTTTTGTGAGAGGGTCTCACTAAGTGGATAAATGGTCCAGGATAGGCTCAAACTTTTGACCCTCCTGCCTCAACTTCCCAGGGTGCTAGGATTCCAGGTTTGCACCACACATCTGGGTTGGATTGGAGAGATACAAAAAAATTTTTTTCTTAAATATTGTTGCGTATATGGCATGCATATGTTCCAGGTCATGACTAGCTGCTTGTTTGTATATAACTAATGTTAAACCATAGGGTTTAAGTCGTTACTTTGGCTATAACGCGTTCCTAAGGGTGTGTGATATTTGATAGTAAATTGTATCTGAGAGATACTTTAACTCTAATGTCTGTTTTATTACTATTTACCATCTGAAAGGGCTGGAGAAAATGTATCTGTCTCATAGTCCAAGAGATGCTGGAAAACTTTAGCAAACACTATTCAAGTCCAATGATGAAAAGATAAGAGTCAACTGTGAAATGAAAATGATTTAGAAATCTCATAAAGTTGTTACTGTCAGAACAAATAAAAAGACAGTCAGAAATTTTTACAGGTGTGCCTAAGCCTGTACACCTGAAACTTCAACTTCGAACACAAATTGAAATTGAATTGACATCATGGATACAGCTTTCTCAGCAAGCAAAAAGATGTGTTAGGTGCTACACATCCAACTCTAGACACTTACCAAAATATTTTTAGTAATCTTTTTTTTTTTTGAACCAGGAATTGAACTCATGACCTTGTGCTTGTTAGGCAGGCACTTGTGCCACTGAGCTATATCCCTGGCCCACCAAAATGTTTTTGCAAGTGTTGTGAAAAGTATTTATGCCTTCACAATAAGAATATTGTTTGCAGTCTTTGGCCATACCACCCTGAATGCACCGGATCTCATCTGATCTTGGAAGCTAAGCAGGGTCGAGCCTGGTTAGTACTTGGATGGGAGGAATACTGTTTGCAATGACTGCTGTAATGTTTTGCAAAGCCAAGTATTAAAGGTCCTGATTAATTAATGCTAAAGACATTGTTTATATATTTCCATTATTTGAAAAGAAGCGTGGTTTTTAATATTTATATTTCTTTGATAACGTCAAGATTGTAAATGTTACACAAAAATAATTGCAAATTTGCAGTGTTTTAAAAATTTTACTTGCATTTCAGCACATACAGTACTAGTGATGAATGTTTCTTTGATACTTGCATCCTATGCTGTGACTTTTTTTTTTATCATAACCTCTTTAGGATTAAGTGTCAGGAGGACACCAAGACTTCATGTAACAGAGGCTTACCAGCCCCACTGTACCAGCAGAAAACAATCCAAAAATAAAATTTAAAGTTCTACTTACAACAGCATCAAAAAATAAGGAATAAATATAAAAAAAGAGTATAAGAACTTAATAATTAAAACTATTAAACATGCTGAGAAAAAAATGTTAAAGTGATAAGTAGAATGTTTATAGACTGGAAAACTAAATATTGAAGTTTATTCCCCAGAAAATATTAAGTTCAATGTCTTCTGTGGAAATTAAAAAACTTGATTCTATATTTTATATGGAAATGCAAAGGTTCTAGAATAGCCAACACAATTTTGAAAATGAATAAAATTAGAAGACTCCTACTATTTTACCTGTTAATCAGGTAAGAATATGTAAACAGATCAATGGAACAAATTAGCAACCCCACAAATAGACCAAAACTTATGATCAAGGGGCTGGGGATTTAGCTCAGCAGCAAAAGCGCCTGCCTGGCAAGCGCAAGGTCGTGAGTTCGGTTCCCGGTACCGGAGAAAAAAAACAAAAAAAAAACAAAACAAAAAAAAAACTTATGATCAATTGATCTTTAACAAAATGTGAAGAATTTCAATACAAGAAAAGAAAATCTTCAAAATACAGTGCTAAAGTAATTAGATAACACACAAAAATAAATAAATAACTTCTACTGTACCTCACATGGTATTTGAGGTAGTTAATTTGAGGTAGATTGTGCAGCTAAATGAAAAAAACTATTTCAAGAAAAACAGGTAAAGCTCCTAGAAGAGATATCTGAAATTTCTTCTATTGGAGATATTTATGACCTTGAGGTAGGCAAAGATTTCACAAAAAGCACAAACTCCATAAAAATTAAAAACTTCTGCTCCTCAACAGTTCAGAAAATGAAAACCAGAGACTGTTAGAATATATTCTTAATACAACTATCTGCCAACGAACTTTTACAGAAAATACATAAAGAACTCTTCCAGCTCAATAATAAAATGACAAGTAACAAACTTTTTAAAATAGGCCAAAACTCTGAAAGTTACGCTGTATCATTCCATTTATACAACAATTTTGAAAAGACAAAACTTTAGAAATAAAGAACAGACTTATGGTAGCTGGGTGTGAGTAGGAAAGAAAGGAACAGAAGTAGATACACTTACATTAGGGTAACAGAAGGAGTCCTGTGGTGATGGGAACTGTTAGAATTGTGATTGTGGTGGTAGATAGGTGAACTATACATGTGTAAAACTATATAAAACTAAATATAAGCCGGGGTGGTGGCACTCTGCTGTGATTTTAGCTTCTTGGGAGACAAAGGCAGGAGGACATGAGTTCAAGACCAACCTGGACAACTTGGTGAGACTCTTGCCATTCATTCATTCAAAATAAGAAAGGGTGAGGGATATAGCTCAATATGAAAGGTCTGCCAGTTTCTTAAAAAAAAAAAAGGTCTGAGGCCAATCCCTAATAGCACCAAAAAAAAAAAAAAAAAAAAAGGCAAAAAAAACAAATAAAAATAACTCACCAAACACACACATACAAAATTAGTACCAGTAAACTTATCTTTACCAGTAAGATCAGTGGACTATGTGAACGTCAATATCTCAGTTGTTTTACAAATATTACTGCTGGGGTAAAGACTACAAGGATTTCTCTGCATTATTTCTTAACACTTCATGTGGATCTAAAATTACTCAATAAAAATTTTAATTAAAAATAGGTAAAAGATTTAAACAGATACTTCACTAAAGACTTTTCTGATGGCAAGCATATAAAACACACGGTACATTCCTAAAGAGAATTCAATTTAGCAGTCAAAGAATGAGTTACTGATATATACAATACGATAAATTTATCAGACATTAAGCAGAAAAAAAATCATATAGAAGAGTGCATAAAGAATAATTTAATTTATATGAAGTTCAAAAACAGGCAAAACAAATCTAAAGCAATAAAAACCAAAACTAATTGCTAAGTGCAAATTGGTGGAATTAAAGAAATGTAGAAAATGAGATTTAATGGCCTGGTATTTTGACTTGGGTCTTGGTCATATGAGTGGGTGTACATATTTCTCAAAACTCAACCAGTTGAACTCAAGACCTGTGCAGCTTAACTATATGCATTAGTCAATTAACAATTCTGAAGTTAGTACTTCAATACCTACGCATTGGGGTGGGGGTACTGACACCTACAATATAAAAATACTGAAATGCACAGAATGTCATACAAAGACAACCAAAATCCAGCCCTTGTTTTCTTAGTCAACCTTATCTCTTGAAGTTCTCCTTAAATACTAAACTGGGGCTCAGTGGTGGAATGTGTGCTTAGCATGCATGAGGTCCTAGGTTCAATTTCCAGCAGTGCAACAGATAAATAAATATCTGCTAAATTATTCCCAAACCAAATTCCCTGAAGATGTGATTTTTTTAATGCCGTGATACACTAATGTAAAGTATTAAATTATTAAATATGACCCCTTTCTAACACCAAGTAAATTCCTAGTTATCTTTCAAAAAGTTCAAGACAAATACCATCTTCCATCTATATGCACTTCCCTGCCCTTCCCAAGTTCCATATAAAGGAAGGGAAACTATAATTTATGGTGTATTTAACATATGCTACAACTTGTTATATATTATCTCATTCTACTACCAGAATTAAAAGCTGACAAGTTAGTGGCTATTGGTGGGTGGGCTGATGTTATTGGCTACCTGAGAGTTGCAGAAGAACAATGGTAGAACTGTAGCCACAGGCCAGGCTCCTCAGATTGACCAGCTGTTCAGCAGTTAGAGAATGATAGCCCCAAAGATACCCAATAATACAGAAATACTGTCTGTTTTAAATAACTTTTAAAAGACATTCCAAAACTATACCTAGCTGCAACTCTTTTAAAGAAAACAACAGAAAAGGAAATACATTTTGATATTCCTTTTGAACCCTTACCTGTATTCTTTCTTGTCCTGTGGTAGATACAAACCCTGAAGCTCTACCACAAAATCCTCATGAAATAAACAATGGGAAACAGGAATGCTGGAGGAAAAAAAAAGGAAAACATTTCATCTTAGGAGCCAAAGCCAGAGGTCAACATCCTAAAGTCAAATACAAACTATAGGTTTTAAACCATGAATCTGGGCTGGGGATATAGCTCAGCAGCACAGTGCCTGCCTGGCAAGTGTGAGGTTGTGAGTTCGATTCCCAATACCAAAAAATAAAGAAATAAAGAAACCAAGAATCTATGCATGGCCTCCCTTGGCTTTGTAAATCCCACACATCGTTACATCCAAGTGCCTGCCTCTGGGAGGAGAGTCCACAGATTCCATCTTTCCTCACTTTCTCAAATAAAGCATGACAATAAACGCCTTTTTCTTGGTAACTCAAAAGTTTACAGCTATACTGTTGCTTGACCAACACTGTGACACTCACCGAGGCTGGCAGAGAGAACCTATGTCAATTTTCCTCATTACCCTTTATCATTTAATAGCCCCACAGCTGTCACTTAGCATTATTCACATACCTACTAATAAAACCCTATTAATTTGCTACTTGATTGGTATAAGTTTTTAATCTACACCACAACTCATAAATAATTTATGCATCTGAAAGTATGCAGGCTTGAGTTAAGGTCTAAAGTATGCTCTCATGACTTCTGAAACTTTTTTTGGCCTATATCCTGATTATCAGCCATATTCCAAATATATCATGTTTATAAAAAAATTGTCCTCAATAAGGTATTATTGTACTCATCTGTATACCAGAACCTTGGTATGATATTCTTAAGAGCATGTTTCTCTTAATGTCTTATGTCACTATCAATGTTCAATTCCTGTAAACCTGAACATGTTTATGTCTCACAAAATTTGAGCTGGGTACTGAATCAAAAAGGCTCAGTGTATTTAGAAGGCAGAAATAAATAGCAAACCCTGATATGACATGTTGTTTTGAAAGCAAAACAAAGATACACATCACTTAACTCATGTAAGGGAAATATGAGAAATTAATAAGCAACTTGAAAGGCTGCTTTTTTTTTCTACTACCAATACCCATTATGTACTTTATATACAATATGAAGAAAATAACTTTGCTCTGCCAAGTTCAGCCGACCCCAGGAAAAATGAAGACTGTAGACACCTAGAATCGTAAAACATGTATACTTGAGAAAAGTATTAATTTTCCCCACCTTAGGATGCATAGCATTTATGGGCCTCAGCTTTCAAGTAAAACCAGAATACTGAATCAGATCTCTGATGTTTCTTTCAGCGCTGATCTTTAAAGAAATTTACTTTTTGGATAATCAATCTCAACGTTTAGATTCTGAGAATCCTATTTTAAAAAATAGAAAAGCCCAAAAACTTAGCCACCAGTGTTTTAGAATCAATCACTTAAAAATGGTTTGCTCTAAAACTAGTGCAAGAGAAGGACAAACATTTTGGACTCCGCCTCCTGCAGTCTCACTTGTTGAAAGAGTTTGGTGGCGATGCTGTCGAAGCAGGAGAGGGACCCGGCTAAGGCCTGAAGAGTGACTAGAAACCTAGAGCTGGAAGAGTCGGGAAAGATCCCAGTGTGGCGGGATCCTTCATTTTACAGGTGCAGGGCTCTGCGATCCAGGGAGGGAAAATCACCAGCCTCGCATCACACAGCCAGAATTGACGGAGCGTCTTCCGGGCACGCCCGGAAGCCCTGGCATTACCAACTGCTCCGCGGCCCGGGCACTGCAGGCAGCAGGGGACCGCCTCGTCTCGGGAGGCTCGGCGTCACGGTCACAGGGAGCCGCGCCCCGCCGGAGACTTACTCAGTGGCCTGCACGAAGCCGCACGTGTCCTCCCGGCACACGTAGAAGCTCTTTCCCTTATTCGGGCCATCGCGAACACCCGTCTTCAAAAAGCAGAAATTCTCTGAGGAAACAAGATCAATAATAATTATGCCATGCTAGTCCGGCAAGCCCCAGGAAACCCCAAGACTCTGAGCCCTTACCATGCTCTGGGCACTTAACTACTTCCATAACTCCTTTCAGATCTTCCAAGGAAGCTCGCCTTGGCTTCCGCCTTTTACTCTGCCCCGCCTAGTTCGGGAACCAATCACCACTCACCTCCGACCCAGGGCCTTGGCCCCCCCCACCCTGTCGAGTATCAGCCAGTCATATAGGTAGTTCGCTCATCTCCAACCAATCACAGCCGCCCTCAAGTTTGCGCGCGCTGAGGTCAAACGTAGAGTGAGGGGGCGTGGCTGAGGAGGCTGAGAAATTTAGGAGCTGTCCTGGCCTGTGGAGGCGCTGAGGTTAAGATTTGAAGGTAGGAGAAGAGAAAGGGCCGGACTGAGACTGAGGGGACTCTTCGTCAAATACTGAGACCAAAAGGCGGCCCTAGAGGGAGCACGAGTTTGGCGGCCGTCTCAGAACCGGGCCCGACGAGGGCACAGCCACGGAAGTGGCGGTGCGGGAGCTGCGGAGTGCCGGGCAGACCCTGGGCTGCCGTGATGTATTGTAAAGCTCGCTAGGCGAGCACGGAGGCTGCTGTAGGGCCCACAGAGAGCCTTGAAATATTTGTAGCGCTGTGCTTCCGGCACACGTCGCTCCGCTCAAGCTGGTGAAACGGGAAGCCCCGTATGCGAGCTTCCCCGCAGCTCGCCAAGTCAGCGAGTGAGCGGTCGGTGGACGCGGACACGAGTCCCAGGCCCAGGCTCAACACCTTTTGGACCACGCCGCTGCCTTCCGCGGGCACCGGGTGTCCTCTGGGCGCTCTGAGGGGAGGACCCGAGTTATAAGTTTCAAAATGCAAATCACAGGGAAGAAATAGATTGTTATCCTTGAAGGCGAATTTTGCTTTGTGTATTTGGTATTTTCAAACTTTTTTACTAGCATGCCTTTGTAGTTTTAAAAATCAAGGATAAAGTTAAGTAAAAGGGACTGTATTTGAAATTGTAATAATTTCCATTTGTTCCCGAAAAGTGAGAAATAGATACCGAGGTTTGTTACAAGAGAGATGGCTTCATATTTCAGCAGTTGAGAACCATATGTCACAGACAGATGGTGTTGCACATGCGACCGTTAGGACAGGAGGACAGAAAATCTGTAATGTCTAGGAAATCTTGGCTGTGTGGTAAGTGTAAATGTTACGGGGTCCAGAGGCAGAGAGACAAAGCAGGGGTATCACTTACTACTTAAATACTGCTTACTGAATGGCTTTTGGTGTGTCCCATGTGAAGTAGGTGCTTGAGAAATGGAAAATTCGTTTATTTACACTCTCACAAAGTTTAAACAACTCTGCTAACCACAAGGAATTTATTCAGTGGAGGAGGCTGAACCAGCACATATGGAACACTTAAATAACAATATAAAATGGTATTTAAATCTCAAGATGAATGGAGTTAGCAGTAAACTCTGTAGGATTAGAGAAAAGGAGTGTTTGGAATTTCCAAAGTGGAATTAATATGTACATAGCTTCCCCTCTGAAACACTACAGGTAAATTGAGATAAGACAAAGCAAAAATAAATTAAAAAATAAATAGGTAGAGGCATTTTCATTATTCCCAGATTGCAATTCTTGCAACTGAGAGATTTTAATGTACACTTATTATTATTATTATTATTATTATTATCATCATCATCATCATCACTATTACTGGTTTTGGTTTTCTGAGACAGAGTCTGTAGCCCAATCTGCTCTTGAACTCACTATGTAGCACAGGTTGGCTTTGAACTTGAGATCCTCCTGCCCTGGCATCCCAAGTGCTGGGATTATTGGCATGTGCCACCACACCCAGGTTAATGTACATGTTTAATAGATGTTGTATGGAGAGATGTAGAATATAAATACTATATTTCTACAAAGAGGAGTGCAGTAATTCTTTCTTGAACAATGCCATTAGACAAAATCGGGGCCTCAAATATTGCATGAAGGAAGATCTTTTCCTTTTAAGTACCAAAGCTGTTATCTCAGGGTCAACCCCCCAAAAGTGTGCACAAATTACAGAGAAAGTATTTCTTCAATTTTGGCTGTGCTGGGTCAAAATGTTTAGCATATCTCAGCTAATCATCTTTCAAAATATAACATGGATGAAAGATCATCATAACCAGACACATCTTTAAATTTTATGCCTTCTGGTATAAATTATAGTGAATTATAAAATATATACTTTTCAGAATATATATATTAGTTTATATATTCATTTTTAGTCTTGTATACATATTTCATGTTCATATTTTTAATTAGTCTACATACCCCTGGAAAGATCTTGAAAACTATGCTTTATCAATTTCTAATTTGAGTCAAATTTGAGAGTTTGAGTTTTTTTTTCCTGGAAGCTTGATTTATTCAAAATGAATGCTTTGACTAAGTCCTGGCTCTCGATGGTTTAAATGTACAGGTTGGTGATCCAATAAATTCTTTCAGAATTTGTCTGGTGAAACACAAAGCATATGTTGGAATTATTTTAAAACTGGATTGTGATAACAGCTACACTAACACTCATAGAACTGTATACTTTAAATAGGTGAATTCTACACATCTCAGTTACAACTCAGTCAAAGCTATTTTTAAAAATATGTAAGCAGTACCAAGAGGTCTGCATGGAAAGTAAAAGCTAAAATTAATCATCTTGATATGTTAATATTCCAGAGAAATATTTTAATGGTTAACGAAGTAAACTACAGAATAGAAATCCTTTAATTTCAGATGCTGTTGATTCTTAAGCAATCTGATTCTCTGACCTATAGAATAAAACCCAGATGATACAAGCACTCACTTTAGTTCTTGGGAAAATGAAAGAAGTATATTGGGTTAGCACTGTGCTAGCTGGCATATATTAACTTGCCAGGGAGCCATAAGATACCAACAGTGAGAGAAAGCTAGAACAGATATATCTTGACATCCTTGTCACTTTCATTTTTAAATAATAACCAATTCCAGTTTTCAAGTGACTTGTAAAATTCTAGCTGCTATGCAATTTTTATTCATTATTTTATTTTAAAAATTGAGTTGTTCAAACGTGCTTTTCCAATCAGGTGACAATTGCAAGAATCTTTTTTTTCTTCTTCTCCTTTTCTCCAGTGCTGGATATCAAAATCAAGGCCTTGTCCCACCACTGAGCAGGCTTCAGCTACAGCCCGATGTTTTGTTTTCTGAGTTAGAAGTTCTCATTGGTGGAGAGGAGTAACCCGTTTTAACAAGCAGAAAAAGAATTTTTTGCCTATGAGCCACATTCTGAGAGGGAAGGCTCTTACATCTGATCTTTTTTTTAGGTATTTTCTGAGATAAGCCCTTCCACTGCATTGCAGCACTGGGTGCACACAGCTACCTGAGCAGTAGGTTGTCTTTCATCCCCATTTTAAAGATTTAGGATATGATGCTAAAATTTAGAGCAAGACCATCATCCTGGTCACCGCCTTACAGAGCCTCTCCTAGAACTTTGGAGCCAGATAGGGCCCGTAGGTTAATGTCCTGGCTCAGAATCATAAGGCTGACAGAAACGAATCAGGGACTGGAAGCTATTTTTTTGATACTCCCAGTACAGTTCTTCCCACTAGAGTATTTTTGTAAAACAAATTATTTAGAGGTTCATTTGGATATTTAACTTAATTTTAAATAATTAATCGCCAAAATTGTGGTATACAGACATGGCTCAACAAATCCAAGACTAAAGATGTGGGGGAAGCCCTGCCATTTTATAAATGATCACTAGGTAGCAGCACATTAACATAAAAACAAAACAACCACTCATCCTCTTTGGCTGTTTCATTTTTTTTGGCTCAAAGATATGTAATGGTAATTTAACTTCATTCCACTTTGTGGCTTTCAAATATATTACTATTTTAAACATGTCCTTTGACATAGGCATAATCAGAAGAATGATATAGTAAGAACAAATCTGCTTATAATCTGAAAAGCCAAGAGACTTCACAAATTCTTTTGTTCTACCAATATTTTGCAGTATTAGATTCCAAATTTCACTGTCCTTAAAATATTATACCAAAAGTAGTTCAAAGCAAGCCCTTCTTCTTTTTTGTAAGTGTACAATTTATTGTGTGTATGTATATTTTCCTTAGTAAAAGCTGCGCCACCAATTTAGTCTTAGAATATTTCTATCACCCACCCCCAATTCCCTTAAACCTTTATGTAATAAATCTCCACTCCCACCCCCAATCCCAAGGTATCACACTTATCAGATTTCTATCTTTATAACTTGGTCTCCTGAACATTTCATATAAATGGAATCGTATAACCTATCTATTGCTTATGGCTTTGTGTACATAATCCTGAGATTCATCCATGATGTGCCATGTAGAATTTCACTTCTTTTTATTAATGAATCATATTGCATTGTCTATATTTGCCAACTGGTATATATTTGCCAGCTGGTATATCTTTTTCCCTTTGGGTTTACCAGGAATAGTGTTGTTACAAACATTAACATGGAAGTTATATAGACTTTTGTTCTCATTCTTTCTAAATAGATACCTATGTGTGAAATTGCTAGATTACAGGTGAGTTTATGGCTCACTTTTAAAGAAATGGCCAAGCTATTTCCCAGTGTTATAGTTCTACCAGCAAGATGTGAGGCTTCCACACCCTCACCAATACGTTATTGTCAATCTTTCTTTATTATAGTCAATCTGGCAGGCATAAAATGGTATCTTGTTTGTTTTAATCTATGTTTCCCTATTGACAATTGATGTTGCACTTCTTGTCATGGGCTTTTTAGTCATTATCTGCTTCTTTTTAAATGGTCTTGAAAGGTTTTTTCCCTGAAACGTTTATATGAAATTTAAAACCTAAATAAAAATGACATTAATTGTTTTTAACCTAAAGAGATTAAAGAAATAGTAATAGTTTGTATAATGTCTTTGTACTCTATACTATAGAGTCATGTCAAAAATATTTAGATTTAAAGTTCAAGCCCAGCTAGTGACTGGGCAACTTAGTGACTTAGTGAAACCCTGTTTCAAAATTTAAAAAAATAAAAATAAAAAATGGGTGCAGCTCAGGCTAAAGGCCCTGAGTTCAATTTTTTCTTTTTTTGAGCCAGAACAAATTATTAACTTTTAAAGCTATATAT